GCTGCCACTCCTACAGTGGCTCCAAATCACTTCAACTTACACAACAAAAAATGGGCATTTCCAGTTCCAACAGCACGCTGGGCGGCTTATATTCATGAGAAAAAGTGATTTAGATCTGGAGCCGTCGCAAATTCACCCTTTTAGGGGTGTGGCAGCCATTTAACAAAAAAGGGGGTCATTATTCCCAAACAAAATTGTACAAAAGCATTAAACTTTTTTTTTCAGATGTGGAGCCATTGCAAACACACCCTTTCACTAGGCGTGGCGGGTAGACATGATAATTAATATGCACGTTGATTCGTTGAATGTATATAAAAGCCCTTGGGAATTACCATAAAACGCAGGTATGGATTGTTTTGAACAACGCTCCAAGCGTCAAATGATGTCCAGCCCCCCTCCCCCCTTTCGATTGTTGGTCAGCGATTGTTGTATGTTGCCCCCCCCCCCCCAAAAAAAAGGTTCCTTACCCCCAAAAATGTTAGAGTTTGGTGCTCCCACTCTGTGCTGTGTATTTGTGATTATGAGATCATTTTAATTTAGATGTCCATGATAAGAGGTACGGTACATGTAGGCCGTCAGCTGAAAATCCCAGGAGGCCTAGAAAATGACTTTCGACTTAAAAATTTTAGGCAACTAATTGCAAACAGCGGATTTAAGATGATATGAGGGTGCTGAATCCGAATCTGGATACCCCCAGTGCCATACTTGCACGTTTTGGCAGTAGATGCTCTTAAAGATGCATTACATCAATTTGCTGATATACTTACACAATCAATAATGTATACAATAGTTATACCATACAATGCCACTTTATTGTTTAACCGACTCACCCACAAATAAAATAAGTATAAAATTGGTAGTTGGGTATAAGTTGTAGTGTTTCCTTAATGATGTCATATATATTACCGGCCAATCAACGTAACATTGTAAGAAATCGTCCACAAAATACGAACATTATAATCGTGGGCACAAAGGAAATGTACATCATTGGCTTTTGCTATAATTTTCAGAAATGAACTATTTGAGGGGCTAGTATAATAGATCAAATTTTGTTACACTGACATGTTTGAAGTTTTTTCTTCGAAAATGCTGGAAAAAAACAAGAAAACCAAAAAACGTTCAAGTAGTCTGGTTCCCTGACTCCACTAAAGATAAAATGGATCAATTTCCAGATGCCGGAAAATATTGTAAGGTAAGGGAACAAGTCTAGCTGGCCTGCACCCGTTCATGAATTATAACCAATAGCAAACAAAATTTGAACTGAATAAAAAATGGTAAATTTTGAGTAGTTGCACAATAGTTGGATTTTTCAACAGTGGTCGGCCGACCACCGCTGGAAACAGATACAAAAATGCCATTTTCTTGAAAATGACTTCACACCAGGTGCCATAACTTTACAGGATGCTTTAGACTGTCATTTACCAACATCCTAGTAAGGTATTTCGTATAAACTTGGTAGTTTTATTTTTCGATGTTTGCAAATGTTGTATATTCCCTTTAAGGGTGAGTTTGCGATGGATCCACAGCTGAATTGTCTCTCACGAATAATGCATGTGTGAATTTTAATGCGTTTACAAAATGTAGCCACAACTTTCCAAGGTGGGCATAATGACTACCCCCCCCCCCCCATTTTTAAAATGAATGCCACGCCTCTAAAAATTTGCGATTATGTCTGGGTGAAGTTCAACGCGTTTATGAAAGGTAGGCACAAGTTGTTGTTTTTGTGGGGGCATCATGACTAACCCCCTTTTTAATATGTCTGCCACGCCCCTAAAAGGGTGGGTTTGAGTTTGCGCAAAATCAGGGAAAACATTTCCCATGAGTATAAAACGTCTGCGGGAAGTTTCATTCGTTTATGAAATGTGGGCACAAGTTATCAATGGTAGGCATAATGAGTACCCCGCCCCCCCCCCCCCTTTTTTCTTAATATGGCTGCCACGCACCTAAAAGGTGTGTTGGAGATGGCTCCACATCTGGGATTTTTTCTCATGAATGTAAACGTATTTGGGAAGTTTCATTCGTGTATAAAATGTGGGCTTATTTTTTCCATGGTGGGCATAATGAGTTCCACCACCCCCCCCCCTTTATTTGTTTCGGTCTGTGCCTGTAGTAAATCACTGCACAGCGCCTATACGTACATCCGTATAATATAACGCGCGCCCTCATTCGTCGAATCCGGACCATCATGTTAAAAACGATCATGTACATTTACATGTTATTTCAAAGTTGCAGCAACCCCAACTCTAACCACGTTTCGCTGCTCATTCGCAAATCGTTGCCCATTCCTTGATCAAAGTAAATGAACAAGAAGTGAGCAAATGAGCAAGAAACGAGCAAGAAATGAGCAAGAAATTAGCAAGAAAAGAGCAAAAAAGGAGCAAAGTGAGCAAGAAATGAGCAACGTAACAGTAAATGAGCGAGATGAGCAAAATGAGCAAGAAACGATCCAAGCAAATGAGCAAGAAAGTACAAAATGAGCTTATGAATTTTGTTCAGTTTAAGTTTTCAAATCGTACATTTTGTTGTGATGTACACTTTATATTACATGTTATGCTCAAGTTTGTCGTTTTACTATAATACCCTCGTTAACACTGTTTACTGACTGTATTTCCAAAGCAAAGTTTACTTTAGGTGTAAACATGGTGCAATAAAAGGGCCGGGCTATTTTGACCATCTCGGCCATCAAGCGACGAAAAATTATGAAACTCGGTACATGCAAAGAACAACTTATCATGAACATACTCACGAAATTTCATGACTATAGGTAAAATGGTTTTGGAATAATGGCTAATTAAATATTCATATGCACGAATATTAATTCTGCTCTGTGTACACTACGTATATGTGAAAATTTTAGTTTTTACGGCGCGTAGCGCCGGAAAAAAAAAGGAGTCCGATTCTTATGTTTTTTTTTTTTTGTTTTTTTTTTTATCCCGGGGATATCATTTTATTGCTCTTCAATCAGCTCTCATCCATTGACAAAATAAATACAGTACTGGCTAAGGATACAGATCTAATCAATGACAACTTAAACAAAAGGGATTACTCTTGACACAATACAGAATAATTTGCCCATTTTGAACAAAATTTTTGTACAACTCCATTTACAACAGACATATATTTTTCACAGATATAATACCTCCTGAGATCTTTTTTAAAAGCTACAAAAGATGGACGTTTGTCACTCATTTTCATTTTGTAAATGTGGAATCGACAAATTAAAAAAATAAGATTGAGACATTTGAATCTACTATCAATAATACCAAACAAAAGAAGCTCATTGTCTACCACGAGACTAATATTAGTCTTGTCCTTGATCCAGTCTGTAATTAAATTCCAGAAGGAAGTGACATGACGGCAATTACAAAAGAGGTGAATAAGGGTTTCTTCTTCGTCTTTACAGAAAGTACAAACATTGGAACCTAACTTGTTAACTTTAAATAAAAACGAATTAGTGCCCAATATTCTGTGGATTAAACGGTACTGAAACCATTTAAGCTTCGAATCAACCGTACAATTAAAGGGTACATTAAATACCTGAGAACATTTACCAAAGTCGTAATTGATTTGTAGTTTCCCTTCCCATTTGTCCACAAACTTTCTAACGACTATTTTAGATGAGATAAAAATATCATACAATCTGCGAGAACCCTTTTTATCGCTTAAAAGAACGTGAAAATTGAAGGGAACAAATGGAAACGGAACGTTTATATTATTCACCAACAAATTATTAAAAACGACCTTAATTGCTCGGACTACTGCACCATACTCAATAAAATTTGACCGAACATTGAACTTGGCCCTGAAGTCAGCCAATGATAGAAAACAACCATTGTCGTCTAAAAGATCACATATAAAGTGAATTCCAGCTGACGACCAGTGCTCATAATGGATGCACTTATTACCGACCTTTATCAGGTTATTGTACCACAGCGTGGTTTTTAAAACGTCACTATGAGTGGAGGGTTTGTGAATCAGAGTAAATTTCTGCCAAGAGTTCAGTACATCAACCCAAAATTGATTACTATGAAACAAAGCATTACGAGCAAAGAGTAAATCGATTGAGCCTCCTTCTATATGCAATAACCGGTCATGAATACCAAGTATTTTACGACACAGGTATGCCCAACCAGAATTATCTGCAACAATCAATCGACGCAGCCAAGTGATTTTAAGAGAGTCCATGTATGCCCTAACGTCAACCATTCGTAAACCGCCCAACTTATAATCTTGAGTCATCTGGTTTCTGGATACTCGATCATTACCTTTCCAAATAAAATTAAAGAACATAACATTAAGATCATTAACAATATTGCAAGGGGGGTTAGGTAAAGTAAGAATAAAATATGTAAGTTTTGACATTAGGAGTGATTTCACCACAGTCACTCTTCCCAAAACCGTGAGGTTCCTTTTAGACCACTGTGCAATAAGTTTTCTAAGTGATAAAATAACATTACTATAGTTAATCAAAATCATGGACTCCAGATCAGTCGAAAAAGTAATACCTAACACTTTGAAGGTATCGCGAGGCGGTATCCAATTAACATTGATATCATCACATAGTTTATCAGTGCAATCCTTCTTAGAACCTATCCAGACTGCTGTGGTCTTGTCAACATTAACTCGCAGCCCAGACATGTTGGCAAATCGGTTAAGAATAGCAAAAGCATTATGCATGGACCTCTCTGTGCCATTTAAAAATAACACTGTGTCATCAGCAAATTGGGATATTCGGAATTCAATATCTCCTACATGAATACCCTGAACATTCTGGTCATTACATAACATCATAGACAAAACCTCAACACATAAAAGAAACAAATACGGACTTAGGCCATCACCTTGCCTACAGCCTCGCTCAATGACAAAGGATTCTGAAGGAAATCCGTTTACCATGACTGAGGAGGAGGCCTGGTTATAAAACAATTGAATCCATCTTGTGATTGATGGTCCAAAGTTAAAGTTATCTAAAACCCTATAAATAAAATCATGTGAATTTTAACAATAGGGCATTCAAATTAAAATTGCACAAACGAGCATCCAAATTCGCCGGAGCTTCCAGCTGTGTAAGTTTGGTCATTCAAATTCACCATTAAGCAGGCATTTGTGAAAAGTAAGCAAATGAATTCGAAATAGGTTTATGCCATTCCGTTGTTTGTTAGAATTACATCACTTTGGCCTGGAAACCAGTCTATACGACATTTTGCGTGCGTGGCGCCAGTAACCGGTACCGTACGCAAAATGAATTACCGACTTGGCACCAAGTCTAGGGACGTCCTGAATTCACTTTCAGTTACGGATCGCTTCGTTTTAGACCAACTCGGGCATATCCGGGTTCACAACACAAAGTTGTACTACATGTATCGTATACATGACAGAATGAAACGCGGACAGCCGATAAAAATGTCCAGAAAAGACCGGAATGTACCGTCCCTTCATCAGCGTGAACGTGTTGGCGGGCCTCAAGAGTCGCAGGACGGTGGCCCGCAGTCCTGGTTCGCGGTGCTGGCTGCTTGGATGACGTGGTTTTTCTGGGGCGGACTTCTCAAGGGACTTGGTGTCCTGGTACCCACTTTGCAAGTTCAGTTCGCAACCAGCACGTGGATTATTGGTTGGATCGTGGCCATGCTGACCGGCTCAGTCGGACTATCAGGTAGGCCTATGCTTGAAATTCTGACCTTGTGGGGTGATGGACTCGAATAGAAAAAACATCACCCCAGACGGAAATCTTTAGAAAAAGGGATAAAAGGAACACAATGCCATCACCCCACAAGGCTCATTCGTCGGTCCGTCCACTCATACAATACTGTATTGCAGAGTTAATAATATTGTAGGTCTCTGTTTTTCTTTTTCCTTCATGGCCTAATCAAACTCAACAGAAGTCTTCGAGTATGTGTCAAACAATCACTTTTGCAATCACACTACCTCTCTAAATGTCAAACAATAAAAAACCACTCTTTTAACGAGCAATTATGGTGGACAATTCCCCTTTAACTCTTGAGTGGTTTCAAATGCAGAGCATGAAAGTCTGCATATTGTGAGTGGTTTTTCACTAAAGCGGCCCATAGTGAAAACCTCTCTAAGGAAGAGTTAATTATCTCCCAAAGTTTTTAAAGTTGTTTCCCAAGTTGTTACATTAGGAGAGCTAGTCAAGTGGGCCTATAACTAGGCATGCAAATAAACCATGACGCATTCATTTGTATCGGTGTTCATTCCCCGTTGTGAAATGCCTGAATTCATACAATAATTCTGTGGGCCCTTCACATTTTGAATGATTCTCCATTCGGTTCTGCATGGCCGGGCAGCGAATTTGTTTCCACGACATGAGCAAATGGGGTGGGCCTATACGCTATGAGGTTTTGGACTTTACTTCCCTAAACACAGGGGCGTAAATCCAGGGGGGGGGGGTATTATCCCCCACACTTTTTGACCAAGGGGTATGTTGAATCATCCCCCCACTTTTCCATATGTTACGCGATACGCGCCCGGCTGTTGTTGTATTACAAAACACTGCATTCGAATGGACCAATCACACGTTTAGTCCTGATTTGGAAATGAAATGACGTTAAGATTGAGTAAAGTCGACTCCGATTTGCTGAGGCGCGAATCGCATAAATCTGCATGTTTTGACATATCAGACGTTATACAGGAGACTTGGCTCCGTGGTAACGGGTGATACTCGGACTAAGTCATGCGGCGCAACTCCATCCAACTTATATTTTTCATGGCTTTTTATAGTATTCATATCAACAACCTGCCTCTCTATTATATCCATTTTGAATATGGCAAGGTCAAATCTGTATTCTATTGGGTTGCCTCCAGGTTAATCCGCGATTCGTCAATGTACGTATTATTCGCCGTCACTAGACCAGAAAGGTTCGAATAGTTTTATTACTTATAAATTCAAATTCATTCACGCATATCCCATGTACATAAAATAATGGGCCGTGAGGCAAAAAGCAAAATCGGCCCATTGAAAACGTACAGGGGGCCTGAAAGTTTTGTCATTTTCTCTCAATTTTTCCAGAATTTGTCCCATTTGTGTTTGGAAAAGTCCCTGAAATCGTCATAGGTATTACTTTCTGGTCTTAGTGGGTACGAAATAAAAACTGTAAAAAAATGATTTCGTCCCGTGCGCACGATCGAGGCCCAATAGAAATCAGCAGGGGCGTCATTGAGGGAGCTAGTACATGTAATTGCATTCGAGCATGTGTACAGGATTCACTGCATGACAGAACGAAGCGAATGCAGATTCTGTTCTAGAAATGTACTGGACCTAAAACGTTTGGTATAGAACAAGAGCTTAAGTAATGTCCACAGAAACCAAGAAAGAAATGACATCACGACAACAGCGCCCTCAGTTGTCCGGAAAAGCATGGACAATTTTAAATGTTTAAAGAAGTGCACTTTTCAATTAGTTTTCATACACTAAAGAGGATTAGAAAGTAGCACAAAATATGTTCCTAAGAAATATTCAGACAGTGAATTTAACGTAAAATTACCGGCACATTTTTTTAAAGTAAGAAACATCACTAAACCGTACTAAAATGCTTAAAAAATTCTTGTTTTTGTTAACTAACTGCTTCGCTACACTCTCCAAAACGCTTCAATATGTGCAAATAGGGCTTGTAAAGTCAATAGCCGGTGAGGGAATGTTACGTGTATCATCGCCATTATAAGCATATCTAGTTACCATTCCAACCGGGTCTTTAATTTCATTGTATTGGCCATGTTCCCGTCATTGGATAGGGCGATGTCGGACTATCAGGTAGGCCTATGCTTGAAATTCTGACCTTGTGGGGTGATGGACTCGAATAGAAAAAACATCACCCCAGACGGAAATCTTTAGAAAAAGGGATAAAAGGAACACAATGCCATCACCCCACAAGGCTCATTCGTCGGTCCGTCCACTCATACAATACTGTATTGCAGAGTTAATAATATTGTAGGTCTCTGTTTTTCTTTTTCCTTCATGGCCTAATCAAACTCAACAGAAGTCTTCGAGTATGTGTCAAACAATCACTTTTGCAATCACACTACCTCTCTAAATGTCAAACAATAAAAAACCACTCTTTTAACGAGCAATTATGGTGGACAATTCCCTTTAACTCTTGAGTGGTTTCAAATGCAGAGCATGAAAGTCTGCATATTGTGAGTGGTTTTTCACTAAAGCGGCCCATAGTGAAAACCTCTCTAAGGAAGAGTTAATTATCTCCCAAAGTTTTTAAAGTTGTTTCCCAAGTTGTTACATTAGGAGAGCTAGTCAAGTGGGCCTATAACTAGGCATGCAAATAAACCATGACGCATTCATTTGTATCGGTGTTCATTCCCCGTTGTGAAATGCCTGAATTCATACAATAATTCTGTGGGCCCTTCACATTTTGAATGATTCTCCATTCGGTTCTGCATGGCCGGGCAGCGAATTTGTTTCCACGACATGAGCAAATGGGGTGGGCCTATACGCTATGAGGTTTTGGACTTTACTTCCCTAAACACAGGGGCGTAAATCCAGGGGGTGGGGGTATTATCCCCCACACTTTTTGACCAAGGGGTATGTTGAATCATCCCCCCACTTTTCCATATGTTACGCGATACGCGCCCGGCTGTTGTTGTATTACAAAACACTGCATTCGAATGGACCAATCACACGTTTAGTCCTGATTTGGAAATGAAATGACGTTAAGATTGAGTAAAGTCGACTCCGATTTGCTGAGGCGCGAATCGCATAAATCTGCATGTTTTGACATATCAGACGTTATACAGGAGACTTGGCTCCGTGGTAACGGGTGATACTCGGACTAAGTCATGCGGCGCAACTCCATCCAACTTATATTTTTCATGGCTTTTTATAGTATTCATATCAACAACCTGCCTCTCTATTATATCCATTTTGAATATGGCAAGGTCAAATCTGTATTCTATTGGGTTGCCTCCAGGTTAATCCGCGATTCGTCAATGTACGTGTTATTCGCCGTCACTAGACCAGAAAGGTTCGAATAGTTTTATTACTTATAAATTCAAATTCATTCACGCATATCCCATGTACATAAAATAATGGGCCGTGAGGCAAAAAGCAAAATCGGCCCATTGAAAACGTACAGGGGGCCTGAAAGTTTTGTCATTTTCTCTCAATTTTTCCAGAATTTGTCCCATTTGTGTTTGGAAAAGTCCCTGAAATCGTCATAGGTATTACTTTCTGGTCTTAGTGGGTACGAAATAAAAACTGTAAAAAAATGATTTCGTCCCGTGCGCACGATCGAGGCCCAATAGAAATCAGCAGGGGCGTCATTGAGGGAGCTAGTACATGTAATTGTATTCGAGCATGTGTACAGGATTCACTGCATGACAGAACGAAGCGAATGCAAATTCTGTTCTAGAAATGTACTGGATCTAAAACGTTTGGTATAGAACAAGAGCTTAAGTAATGTCCACAGAAACCAAGAAAGAAATGACATCACGACAACAGCGCCCTCAGTTGTCCGGAAAAGCATGGACAATTTTAAATGTTTAAAGAAGTGCACTTTTCAATTAGTTTTCATACACTAAAGAGGATTAGAAAGTAGCACAAAATATGTTCCTAAGAAATATTCAGACAGTGAATTTAACGTAAAATTACCGGCACATTTTTTTAAAGTAAGAAACATCACTAAACCGTACTAAAATGCTTAAAAAATTCTTGTTTTTGTTAACTAACTGCTTCGCTACACTCTCCAAAACGCTTCAATATGTGCAAATAGGGCTTGTAAAGTCAATAGCCGGTGAGGGAATGTTACGTGTATCATCGCCATTATAAGCATATCTAGTTACCATTCCAACCGGGTCTTTAATTTCATTGTATTGGCCATGTTCCCGTCATTGGATAGGGCGATGATTACTATCGAATCGATATAAGCCGTGTTGACTGTCACTAGGTTCTGAAATCTACACGCCGTAGAAGTGTGACGTCACGCGGGGTTGTCTCCATTAGTAATGTGTCCCAACAATCTGTTGTCCGCCATTTTTACCAGGAGGATTTTGCACGGGCGATTTAAGTGAACATTTTCTAGTTGACAGTTCTCAGACATTTCAAATAAGTTTGCGTGCGCGTCGTTACCACAACATCCAATCTGTATACACAATGTCACATCGTCTGTAGTTCGACTGATCATTCGCCCGAGCCCAGGCTTGCCGCCTGACTGTAGTTTGACAAGGAAAGTAATAGACTATATTCAGGACTCCAGTCCACCGCAGTTTTTGGCATCGCTGCATGGTTAAACCAAAATGCACGCTATAGGGTCCACTGTACTAATTCAAGCCCCATTGAAAACAATGTAAAATCAACAAGGTTCAGGGCCAAATAACATGCAAGCCAACATCACTGGGGTTTCTCAAACAAAAATCAAGTTATTGTCTTGTCTTTCATCTTTTCATTTCTTTTCAATTTTAGGTACATTAGCCAATTACATTTGTAAATATTCACACCCAAATAAAATCACCTGCCGAAAAGTGATAGTTCCCAAGCCTGCATGTAGCCATTTTACAAGTGGCATCCTTCCACTTTCGCAGGCAAATAGGACCTATTTTTCATCCGTGATTTTATCAAGCCTGCCCTCAGATGGAAGCCCAAAAACCAGGGAGTTAATCCTTGGGTATATTTACATAATTCCACCGTTTTTAAAGCCAAACGGTCTCCGTTTTCAAAAGAAATTGGGGGGGGGGGGGAGGGGTACTTTTTATGCTAATGACTTGCGTAGAAATTCTCACTTGAATTAGTTCAGTGCACCCTATTAAAATGTACAGCAGGAGCCAGAACCGACGGTTTTGTGGTGACGTCTTAATTGTCTAGCGGTTGTCTGTACTGTACAGTTTGCCATTGGTACGGTAGCGTACGTTCCGTCATGAAACAACCGCGGCACTATAGTCGACCAATGACACACGATCGAGCTTGCGCTAATCTTAACTTCTTGTACGGTCGTTTCTCTTCTATTTCCGCAGGTATATTTGCCGGTCCTCTCGGCAAACGTTTCGGTTCCGGCGTGGTGTTCATCATCAGTGGTCTATTGGTCAGCTGGGGTTTCATGATGACCGCGTTCACCTTGGATTCCGTCCAGCTGGCGTTGCTCCAGACACTCATAGCGGGTATGTCAAAGGTTCGTTAGTATCCGCGGGCCTTGTACCAAGGGCACTCCTGACCGCTTATCCTTACCACAGGATGAGATTGGGGAAGACTGAAAAATCCCTTAAATAACCGGACGAGGATTTTAGCCGCAAATAAGCAACGTATGGTCTACGATTAGCCCAGGTGACGCCGTCTCCGTTACATTGTACTCCCTCCGTAATGTTATTGCAGTATTGGACTTCACCTTGGCTAGGACTACAATAATAATGATGCATTTGCTTAAAGGTATCCCTTAAAACAACCACTTTTTTCTGTAAAAAGTCTTCGTTTTTGGGGGTGGGGGGATTTAACCTCTACTTTCGGTAAAGCCTCGGGAATTAAGTTCCAGGTTTCAAAAGGGATTCTTAACAAATCCTGAAATCAGGATAAATCCCGACAAAAAATGGTGAATTCAGGAAAATCCTGACAAATCACACACTATACTTGTGAAGGAAACGGAAACGTCGCAAAGCTTATGCTGGTACCCTCCGTTTGCATATAAATGGGTCGTGCGCATGCGGAAGTGATAACCGCGGGTCAGTTGAAACAATCTATGAAAATGACAGCTCAAAAAACTCAGAAATCATCAGCGCCCAATTGGTAGGGCAGTGGGGATGAGCGGATGAGCAAAATGTAAATTTTGAAAGAGCACAAGCAGTTACGCAAGGCGCAACCTTCTCCGTTTTGCATTATGTGTATCAGGTATAGAGCCTAAAGTGTGCAATTATTTCTTTGCCAGCTTCCGGACCCCTCGGGCGACCCTTCTATGTGCATTTTACAGTTACCCGTTCTCCTGTTATAATTCGGACGATTCACAATGCAGTGCGCCACCAAGAGTTTGCCATGGAAAGTCCATTTTCCAAGATAACGGTCGACAAATCATGGCCCCTTTGAATGACTGTCAATAGACAGCTTGAGCTTATTTGTTTTAGTTTGGGGCATGACGTTCTGCCGCCTTACCAAAAAACACCGTATTGATAAAAGGACAAGAAAAGGGCAAACATAATATTCAAATCATACGCTTACGAAACTACTTACCAGAAAAACTAACAATTTCAAATGTCCCGCGCTGCGAGTTTGTCGACCATCTCCCACAATGCACTGGGAAAAAAATGAACTCTCCTTGGCAAACTCTCCGGCGCACTGCATTGTGAATCGCCCGAAATGTTGACAGAATGATTTCTAACCATAATCACCTTAAGAAACATTTATGTTGGAATTCATATCTTGGCATTCCACAAGCAAAAAAAAAATGATGAGAAATCAGTTGGAGATGGGTAAAAGCAAATTTCAATCACGACCTTTCAGATCAGGATTTTCGTACCTAGGTGTCCTTGTTCGATCACGTTTGTTTTTATTATGTGCAGGGCCAGGTCTTGGATTTGCCAATGTCCTCAGTCGGGAAGCAGTCGGCCGTTGCTTCAGTGATAACTACGCTACAGCAAGCGCTATCTCACAGACTGGCTTGTCAGCGGCTATGCTGATCTGCGCACCAGTGACTCAGCTTTTCCTGGACACGTATGGTTGGCGCGGTACTCTGCTGTTGCTGGGTGGTTCCTCCATGCACCTCGTCGTCTGTGGTCAACTGCTGCATAAGATACTGCCACCTACGAAGCAACGAGGCGCGTATGATTTGCTATCCTCTGACGAGACATCTGATCAGAGGGCAGCACAAGGAACCGAGGACCACTGTGGAGGACGGTCTGCACGTGAGCTCGGTAACGAGTGCTGGCAATTGGCCCGGTCTGCGGTGCAACATCTAGACTGCCAGTTATTCTGTGATGTCCAGTTTTGGCTGATCTTCATCTGGACTATTGGGACGCTCTTCCCCTTCGAAATGTGGTACATTTACTTCATATCGTTGGCCCAGTCCAAGGGCTTCTCGCCCACGGATGCGGCAGTATTTGTCACCTACGCCGGAATCGGTAATGTGGTCTTAAAGATCGTGCACGCACCGGTGGTGGACCGGAGGATTATCAAGATGCGCCCGATGATTGTAGGTAGCATGGTTCTGTCCTTTGCCTCCCTGGTGGTCACTCCGTGGAACAACGCGTACTGGTCTATGGCACTGAGTGCTTGCGTGTTCATGGCATGTACGGCGATTTTTGCTAACCTGCATGACGTCTTAATTAAGGAGGTCCTTGGCAAGGACCGAATGGCCTGCGCTTTCGGCTGGGTTGGGATCATCTTTGGGGCGATTCGGATAGCTTTCGGATTTTTTCCGGGTGAGTGGTTAAGTAAATTGTTCTCTATGGCACTGCGCACGTAATGATTTATTATAAATAATCTGTGTCTACGAGCTAGGCCACTGGCTGCAATAAATTAGATTTTCAGTACAATGCGCCGCCCGGTGCTTGCCTCGAATTCGAGCGATTCACAATGCAGTGCGCCACCAAGAGTTTGCCATGGAGAGTCCATTTTTCTAGTTTACGGTCGACAAAACATGGCCCATTTGAATGAGTGTCAGTAAACAACTTGAGCTAATTTGTTATAGATTGGGGCATAGCGTTCTGCCGCCTCACAAAAACAAACACATCGATAAAAAGAAAACAAAAGAGCAAACAGATACTCGAAGCATACCTTTACGAAACTACGGACTGGAAAAACGAACAATTTCAAATGTCCCGCGCTGTGAATTTGTCTACCATCTCCCACAATGCACTGGGAAAAATGAACTATTCGTGGCAAACTCTTGGGGGCGCATTGCATTGTGAATCTCCTGAATTAAGAGGCTATTTTTCAAATCGACACGTGATCAATGCACCAATGATTTGTGCCCCCAAGGGCATTGTGAAACGAGTGTAGCGCGTTATTCCTGCTGTGTACGAGCACGGCACGCCTTAATGGCAGAACAATATTTGACGTCGTTGATTTTTTAAACTCAATGTTTGCAGCACTGTTAATCATATCAATATTAGTTTCTTCAAGTATATAGTGCATGTTGTGTGGATTTCACTAGCAAGATTTCTATATTCTATATACATGTATACAATGGGAAAAATCGCCAATTTCTTCTTGTCTTTTATGCTGCAGGTTGGATTTATGACCAGACGGGCAGTTACGATTTGGCGTTCCTCATACTGGCCGGCTTGCAACCATTGGGGCTGATTGCCTTGTTGTGTCTCAGATACACGGAGACGGCGCCGAAGTAATGGAAAGGTTCTTCAGTATCTAGACTCCATTTCTCATGTGACATACCCATGGGCGTCGCGATTGGGTGGAAAGGGGGGCGCTCCCCCCCCCCCGGAAAAGCAAAGAAAAAAAAGAGAGAAAAAAAAAGAAAGAAAAAGAAAGGAAAAGGAGGTGTGAAGTCACTTTTTGCTTTTAATTTAATACACAGTTGACAAAATGGGGTCTGCAGAGGAGTGATCAATGGGGTTGGCAAATGTCCCCGCCCACCCTCAAAGAAATGATCACGAATATATGCTAGTGAAAGTACAAGGATTTTTTTTTTTTGGGGGGGGGAATTGCTTTGCCCCCCCCCCCCCCTACAAATAAAATCCTGGCGACGCCCATGCACATACCGTGCAAAATTACCCCCCTCAGACTCCTCACTCGGCTGTATAGACAGACTCGGGTGAACACTGTCGCCGAACGCCTGGCGATCACGCAAAGAAGGTTTGTGTATACGTCTTGAAATACCAACTGGGCCGCTTTACCTTTCCCGGTGGTTTCGGTGCTGTGGTCGACCTAGATTATTGGTTTGTGGTTTATCACAGGATAACTGATCGATCCAAATGCTCCATTGTAAACTTGGTCTTATTTGACCATTGGGACCAGTAACTGCATTTTATTATTTATATTTATTTTATTTTATTAAGTCCGCAATTTCTGAGCGTATCTTTTTAGCCAGAAAAAGCGCCATGCGTTGAAAATGCTGTCAAATTTGACACCCCGCCCCCTGTTTTTGGCACTGGTTTCGGAGAGATACCTTTTTGAATGGGCCTTATGCACGAGTTGGCCATTTTTTGTTGTGTTCCCTGAATGCATGTCATAAATTGTTAACTGTTGAATGGGATGGCGCCAGACTATTTATGCAGCCTTATAGTTTACTGTCATTTTTTGGTTAAAATCTGGCTTAACACATTTACAGAATGTTTAATTACAAATTTAAATTATTCATTGAACCAGACTTCAATTAATTAGTAATTTACTTGCTTTCATTTCTCTTCGCAAGTTCCATCCAAAAATGGAGATTTATTCTCACTTTCATTTCAATATGGCCGACTCGTGCATCAGGCCCATAGTCCAATTTCCTGATCTATTCTGTCTCCTTGGCTTAAAAGGATTTTGTTTGCATGCTGTTTAAGCCCAACATAAATTATGCACTGCCTATACTGCTCGAGTGGCTGGCACAGTATGTTCCAATGATGTCCTTGGTAACTGAACCTGGCACATTATGTTGCCTTGGTGTGTTAATTAAGCGATATGAGACGGTGCTTAGCTATTGAGAGTGCACTCAGTGGAAACCTTACCCAACACAACACATATGCGAAGCGAGAACTGTCAGTTTTATTCTCTAAATTTAATATTTTACCCGAAATATCTTAAAATATAAAACAACAATATTTAAGTTTATTCATAAATCTTTAAAAAGGAAAGGTTCTTTCATAATTTGTTTATGGACCTTAACTACGAACATGAAGGTATAACACAGCCTGTCTAAAAAAAAAATGGTACAATCAGAAAAAAAATTGGTTAAATATGAAATTTCAAAATAAGTCATTCTTACTTGGCATAATATTAAAGAACAAAGACTGGGCTTTCCAATATTGTTTGTTTGATCTTATTTGCTTTTGTCAATTAAGAGGTATAATTAATTTAGTGCGATACACCAAGATCGATTTTGTGCCACTTTTATGCATGGGCAGAGTGGTGGCACAAACTCGATTTGTGTGTTCCGCAGTAAACTGGAGTTATCTCTGGATTGATAAAAGCAGATGAGATGAAACAAAAAGTATCGGAAAGCCTGGTCTTTTTTTCGTTAATGTGATGCTCAAAACTCGTTTTTGATTGTACCATTTTTTTTAAAGACACGCTGTGTATGTCAAAATCAACAGTAAGTGACATGCATGTTGGCACTACCAAAGTAAACTGTAACGATTTCTGTTGTTATTACGGCGTTAAACTCATAGCATTCACATCACGCGGTATCTTTGTTGATTTACAGAACACCAAAATGGCGGCTTGTTAATGGGGTGTGGTTTGGGGGAGCTTACTACCCCCTTTATTCTATGTAACATGTTTACAAACAGGTACATGAGCCCTCACTCATTTTCTTCAAATATGCATGAGCTCGATGAATATAGTCGATGCCTTAGAACTTGAGAAGAGCACTGTTAATACAACATCCTGCTTATAACAAGCAAACGTTTAGGTCCCAAGTCTTTGTGTTTCTTTGTTTTCCATTACTGTTAATACAAAGTACCTACCACATTTTGTATAACATGCTAATTTGTAAAGTCCCAAGGCCCTTTTTATAAAGGTGTTCGTTATACCTATTCCTCCTGCGAAACGTATTCTGACTCGTTCATGGTCTATTCTGTTAATTGTCGTTACCTCTGTACCTTTAAACTTTGGCATCCCCTCGTGCCGAGCTTGACAATGATTGGACCTTTAATTTACTGTTCGTCGAACTCATCAACGGGCACTTTTCCGAAGGGTTTACAGCCCGTTTCTACACGGAGATCGTCCAATCGTCTGACGTACCGTGAGGTACGTTTCGGGACTGCTGTAGACTTTAGGTTCATAGCTTTTCCAAAATATTTTCTTCAAAAGGACGTCATACAATATTCATTGCTTTCGTCTTCTTGTCTCCACCTGTTATCTTCAACACCTCAGCCACCTTCCCCCACATGCAAGAAATGTCCTGGAACCGTCACCGATAACGGTGCAATGCACACCTTAGAACGATGCACCAAATGATCAAATGTGATGTCCAAATGATTTGCTCCAAGGACATATAAAGACAGCTAGCAATTCAATACAATTCAATTTGTCAAGTAATTTTAACGATATATACTATATTGTAATATTCCATTATTTTTTTTGTCCTACGAACTTAATACCTATCTCATTATTTTTGTCCTATGGACTTCATACCTTTCTCATTATTTTTGTCCTATGGACTTAAAATCTTTCTCAAATCAAACTTTTAAAGTAGCCTTTTAAATGCAAAACCACCATTCAGACAGTTTCAGATATGTGACACAGAATCTGCAAGTCTTTATCCGATGTCACCTGTCACACAAACCAGAGACACTCTTTTGCAAGATGCACCACGAGGGGGAGAAGGGAAAGAAGCCCCTAGAGTTCCAGACACGTCCCCAGAAGTCTCAACAGTTTCAGATATGTGACACAGAATGTGCAAGTCTTTATTCGATGTCACCTGTCACATAAGACAGTTTCAGATATGTGACACAGAATGTGCAAGTCTTCATCCGATGTCACCTGTCACATAAACCAAAGACACTCCGTTTCGCAAGATGCACCACGAGGGGGAGAAGGGAAAGAAGCCCCAAAGTTCCTACCACGTCTCCAGAAGTCTCCTAGAGAAATCGACAAAGAGAGGTGCTGCAACTGCTGGTAAGATCAACCTAATGGTTCTCAATCGATACACTTTGTTAATAAACCTCATCCCCAAAGACCAACTTGAGTTGCGATCATCATGGTACTGTTGAAAAAGGTATGAGTAGCTTGACAGGTGCCTGGACCAGTCTTCCTATAGGCACTGGTAGCAAAACCCTGCAGGGATGTAGTCGAATTCATCACAAGTATCTGCAAGCTAAGTCCCTGCAAGTTCATCACCTCAGCTTCCAGTCCAAATTCAACTGGCAAGCTATCCATTTGGCAGCCCTTCTCATTTGGATTGAGAAGAACATTAATACAACAGAGGTAATTATTGAGAAGATTGTTATAAGAAGGAAGGCGCGGGCTGTCTTAAGTAGAGTGACTCCCAAGTAATACTCGTGTATGGGCATCACTATGGAAGCCGGACAACTGTTCGGAGTCCCCTCTCACATAAACCAAAGACACTCTTTTCGCAAGATGCACCATGTGGGGAGAGAAGGGAAAGAAGCCCCAAAGTTCCTGCCACGTCTCCAGAAGTCTCATAGAGAAATTGACAAAGAGAGGTGCTGCAACAGCTGGTAAGATCAACCTAATGGTTCTCAATCGATACACTTTGTTAATAAACCTCACCCCAAAGACCAACTTGAGTTGCAATCATCATGGTACTGTTGAAGAAGGTAAGAGTAGCTTGACGGGTGCCTGGACCAGTCTTCCTATAGGCACTGGTAGCCAAACCCTGCAGGGATGTAGTCAATTTCATCACAAGTATCTGCAAGTTAAGTCCCTGCAAGTTCATCACCTGAGCTTCCAGTCCCAATTCAACTCGCAAGCTATTCATTTGGCAGCCCTTCTCATTTGGATTGAGAAGAACATTAATACAACAGAGGTAATTATTGAGAAGATTGCTATTAAAAGGAAGGCGCGGGCTGTCTTAAGTAGAGTGACTCCCAAGTAATACTCGTGTATGGTCATCACTGAAGAAGCAGGACAACCCCGCCTCAAACCAAGGCATCCATTCGCACCAGAGGCACAGTCACTGTTCGGAGTCCCCTCTCAAATAAACCAAAGACACTCTTTTCGCATTATATTTGTCCTAAGGACTTAATACCTTTCTCATTATTTTTGTTCTATGGACTTAATACCTTTCTCATTATATTGTCCTATGGACTTAATACCATTCTCGTTATTTTTGTCCTATGGACTTAATATCTTTCTCAATTCAAACTTTTAAAATAGCCTTTTAAATGCAAAACCACCATTCAGACAGTTTCAGATATGTCACACAGAATCTGCAAGTCTTCATTCGAAGTCACCTGTCACACAAACCAGAGACACTCTTTTGCAAGATGCACCACGAGGGGGAGAAGGGAAAGAAGCCCCTAGAGTTCCAGACACGTCCCCAGAAGTCCCAACAGTTTCAGATATGTGACACAGAATGTGCAAGTCTTCATTCGATGTCACCTGTCACATAAGACAGTTTCAGATATGTCACACAGAATCTGCAAGTCTTCATTCGAAGTCACCTCTCACACAAACCAGAGACACTCTTTTGCAAGATGCACCACGAGGGGGAGAAGGGAAAGAAGCCCCTAGAGTTCCAGACACGTCCCCAGAAGTCTCAACAGTTTCAGATATGTGACACAGAATGTGCAAGTCTTCATCCGATGTCACCTGTCACATAAACCAAAGACACTCCGTTTCGCAAGATGCACCACGAGGGGGAGAAGGGAAAAAAGCCCCAAAGTTCCTGCCACGTCTCCAGAAGTCTCCTAGAGAAATTGACAAAGAGAGGTGCTGCATCAGCTGGTAAGATCAACCTAATGTTTCTCAATCGATACACTTTGTTAATAAACCTCATCCCCAAAGAACAACTTGAGTTGCGATCATCATGGAACTGTTGAAGAAGGTATGAGTAGCTTGACGGGTGCCTGGACCAGTCTTCCTATAGGCACTGGTAGCAAAACCCTGCAGGGATGTAGTCGAATTCATCACAAGTATCTGCAAGCTAAGTCCCTGCAAGTTCATCACCTGACCTTCCAGTCCCAATTCAACTCGCAAGCTATCCATTTGGCAGCCCTTCTCATTTGGATTGAGAAGAACATTAATACAACAGAGTTAATTGTTGAGGAGATTGCTATTAGAAGGAATGCGCGGGCTGTCTTAAATAGAGTGACTCCAAAGTAATACTCGTGTATGGTCATCACTGAAGAAGCCGGACAACCCCGCCTCAAACCAAGACATCCATTCGCACCAGAGGCACAGTCACTGTTCGGAGTCCCCTCTCACATAAACCAAAGACACTCTTTTCGCATTATTTTTGTCCTAGGGACTTAAAACCTTTCTCATTATTTTTGTTCTATGGACTTAATACCTTTCTCATTATTTTGTCCTATGGACTTCATACCATTCTCGTTATTTTTGTCCTATGGACTTAATATCTTTCTCAATTCAAACTTTTAAAGTAGCCTTTTAAATGCAAAATCACCATTCAGACAGTTTCAGATATGTGACACAGAATCTGCAAGTCTTCATTCAAAGTCACCTGTCACACAAACCAGAGACACTCTTTTGCAAGATGCACCACGAGGGGGAGACGGGAAAGAAGCCCCTAGAGTTCCAGACACGTCCCCAGAAGTCTCAACAGTTTCAGATATGTGACACAAAATGTGCAAGTCTTTATTCGATGTCACCTGTCACATAAGACATTTTCAGATATGTGACACAGAATCTGCAAGTCTTTATCCGAAGTCAACTCTCACATAAACCAAATACTCTTTATCCAAAGTCAGCTCTCACATAAACCAAAGACACTCTTTCGCAAGATGCACCACAAGAGGGAGAAGTGAAAGAAGACCCCAGAGTTCCTGACACGTCTCCAGATGTGTTCTAGGGAGGAGACTGCAACAGATAATAATGGTTCTTAATCGATACACTTTGTTAATAAACCTCATCCCCAAAGGCCAACTTGAGTCGCAATCATCATGCTACTGTTGAAGAAGGTAAGAATAGCTTGACGGGTGCTTGGACCAGTCTTCCTATAGGCACTGGTAGCCAAACCTTGCAGGGCTGTAGTCAATTTCATCACAAGTATCTGCAAGGTATAGGTCACTGCAAGCTCATCATCAGTCTTCCAGTCCCAATTCAACTCGCAAGCTATTAAAATTAACAAAGGCATTCCTTTGTAATTGTTTATCCACTGTTTCTTGATCCGGACTTGTGAACGGACATCCCTGAAACACATCCATACAATAATGGGTGTAAGCGGAAACCAACAGAATCGACCCAACAGCAGGTCGGCAGGTACAGGTTCGTTTTTTACGTAGCCCGTTCAATGCTTCACACTGGGCAAGTGTTGTTTTAAGACCATCCAGATCAAAAAGGCACAACTTGATATGACCACGGTATGACTCAAGTAAGGTCAGCTCGTACAACTGCAGCCTGGCAGTCTGGTGCAAAAATGCAAAACCACCATTCAGACAGTTTCAGATATGTGACAAAGAATGTGCAAGTCTTCATTCGATGTCACCTGGCACAAAAACCAAAGACACTCCGTTTCGCAAGATGCACCACGAGGGGGAGAAGGGAAAGAAGCCCCAAAGTTCCTGCCACGTCTCCAGAAGTCTCCTAGAGAAATTGACAAAGAGAGGTGCTGCATCAGCTGGTAAGATCAACCTAATGGTTCTCAATCGATACACTTTGTTAATAAACCTCATCCCCAAAGAACAACTTGAGTTGCGATCATCATGGAACTGTTGAAGAAGGTATGAGTAGCTTGACGGGTGCCTGGACCAGTCTTCCTATAGGCACTGGTAGCAAAACCCTGCGGGGATGTAGTCGAATTCATCACAAGTATCTGCAAGCTAAGTCCCTGCAAGTTCATCACCTGACCTTCCAGTCCCAATTCAACTCGCAAGCTATCCATTTGGCAGCCCTTCTCATTTGGATTGAGAAGAACATTAATACAACAGAGTTAATTGTTGAGGAGATTGCTATTTGAAGGAATGCGCGGGCTGTCTTAAGTAGAGTGACTCCAAAGTAATACTCGTGTATGGTCATCACTGAAGAAGCCGGACAACCCCGCCTCAAACCAAGACATCCATTCGCACCAGAGGCACAGTCACTGTTCGGAGTCCCCTCTCACATAAACCAACGACACTCTTTTCGCATTATTTTTGTTCTAGGGACTTAATACCTTTCTCATTATTTTTGTTCTATGGACCTAATACCTTTCTCATTATTTTGTCCTATGGACTTCATACCATTCTCGTTATTTTTGTCCTATGGACTTAATATCTTTCTCAATTCAAACTTTTAAAGTAGCCTTTTAAATGCAAAATCACCATTCAGACAGTTTCAGATATGTGACACAGAATCTGCAAGTCTTCATTCGAAGTCACCTGTCACACAAACCAAAGACACTCTTTTGCAAGATGCACCACGAGGGGGAGACGGGAAAGAAGCCCCTAGAGTTCCAGACACGTCCCCAGAAGTCTCAACAGTTTCAGATATGTGACACAAAATGTGCAAGTCTTTATTCGATGTCACCTGTCACATAAGACATTTTCAGATATGTGACACAGAATCTGCAAGTCTTTATCCGAAGTCAACTCTCACATAAACCAAATACTCTTTATCCAAAGTCAGCTCTCACATAAACCAAAGACACTCTTTCGCAAGATGCACCACGAGAGGGAGAAGTGAAAGAAGACCCCAGAGTTCCTGACACGTCTCCAGAAGTCTTCTAGGGAGGAGACTGCAACAGATAATAATGGTTCTTAATCGATACACTTTGTTAATAAACCTCATCCCCAAAGGCCAACTTGAGTCGCAATCATCATGCTACTGTTGAAGAAGGTAAGAATAGCTTGACGGGTGCTTGGACCAGTCTTCCTATAGGCACTGGTAGCCAAACCTTGCAGGGTTGTAGTCAATTTCATCAGAAGTATCTGCAAGGTATAGGTCACTGCAAGTTCATCATCAGTCTTCCAGTCCCAATTCAACTCGCAAGCTATTCAAATTGACAAAGGCATTCCTTTGTAATTGTTTATCCACTGTTTCTTGATCCGGACTTGTGAACGGACATCCCTGAAACACATCCATACAACAAGGGTGTAAGCGGAAACCAACAGAATCAACCCAACAGCAGGTCGGCAGGTACAGGTTCGTTTTTTACGTAGCCCGTTCAATGCTTCACACTGGGCAAGTGTTGTTTTAAGACCATCCAGATCAAAAAGGCACAACTTGATATGACCACGGTATGACTCAAGTAAGGTCAGCTCGTACAACTGCAGCCTGGCGGTCTGGTGCAAAAATGCAAAACCACCATTCAGACAGTTTCAGATATGTGACAAAGAATGTGCAAGTCTTCATTCGATGTCACCTGGCACAAAAACCAAAGACACTCCGTTTCACAACATGCACCACGAGGGGGAGAAGGGAAAGAAGCCCCAAAGTTCCTGCCACGTCTCCAGAAGTCTCCTAGAGAAATTGACAAAGAGAGGTGCTGCAACAGCTGGTAAGATCAACCTAATGGTTCTCAATCGATACACTTTGTTAATAAACCTCATCCCCAAAGAACAACTTGAGTTGCAATCATCATGGTACTGTTGAAGAAGGTACGAGTAGCTTGACGGGTGCCTGGACCAGTCTTCCTATAGGCACTGGTAGCCAAACCCTGCAGGGATGTAGTCGATTTCATCACAAGAATCTGCACGCTAAGTCCCTGCAAGTTCATCACCTGAGCTCCCAGTCCCAATTCAACTCGGAAGCTATCCATTTGGCAGCCGTTCTCATTATGACTGAGAAGAACATTAATACAACAGAGGTAATTATTGAGAAGATTGTTATTAAAAGGAAGGTACGGGCTGTCTTAAGTAGAGTGACTCCCAAGTAATACTCGTGTATGGTCATCACTGAAGAAGCCGGACAACTGTTCGGAGTCCCCTCTCACATAAACCAAAGACACTCTTTGACAGTTTCAGATATGTGACACAGAATGTGCAAGTCTTCATCCGAAGTCACCTGTCACATAAACCAAAGACACTGTTTTGCAAGATGCACCACGAGGGGGAGAAGGGAAAGATGCCCCCAGAGTTCCTGACACGTCTCCAGAAGTCTCCTAGAGGAATTGACAAGGAAAGGTGCTGCAACAGCTGGTAGGATCAACCTAATGGTTCTCAATCGAAACAATTTGTTAATAAATCTCATCCCCAAAGACCGACTTGAGTCGCAATCGTCACGCTACTTGACACTGTTGAAGAAGGTAAGAGTAGCTTTGCGGGTGCCTGGACCAGTCTTCCTATAGGCACTGGTAGCCAAACCCTGCAGGGATATAGTCGATTTCATCACAAGTATCTGTAAGATAAGTCCCTGCAAGTTCATCACCAGTCTTCCAGTCCCAATTCAACTTGCAAGCTATTCAAATTGACAAAGGCATTTTTTTTCGTTATTGTTCATCCACTGTTTCTTGATCCGGACTAGTGAACGGACATCCCCGAAACACATCCATACAACACTGGGTGTAAGCGGAAACCAACAGAATTGACTCAACAGCATAGTTTGTAAGAAACAGAACTCTGAGGTCTGAGGTCGGCAGGTGCAGGGTATTATTTACGTAGCCCGTTACATGCTTCACACTGGGCAAGTGTTGTTTTAAGACCATCCAGATCAAAAAGGCACAACTTGGTATGACCACGGTATGACTCGAGTAAGGTCAGCCTGCCAGTCTGGTGTCTCATGATTGGAAAGATTCAAGCTTCGATGAAAAAGCGAAGATACACAAAGTGGAGGTGTAGATCCTAGTAACTGCTAGAAAATATCTCTTCTAACGTTTAAGTTGGTAAACAGACAGGTGCCATTATTTGGCAGCCCTTCTCATTTGGATTGAGAAGAACACTAAAACAACAGAGGTAATTATCGAGAAGATTGCTATTAGAAGGTGGTGTGGGCTGTCTTAAGTAGAGTGACTCCCAAGTAATACTCGTGTATGGTCATCACTGAAGAAGCCGGACAACCCTGCATCGAACCAAGGCATCCATTTGCACAAGAGGCACAGTCTTTATCCGAAGTCACCTCTTACATAAACCAAAAACACTCTTTTCACAAGATGCACCATGACGGGGGAGAAGGAAAAAAAGCCCCCAAAGGCCATCCAGATCAAAAAGGCACAACTTGGTATGACTCGGGTAAGATCAGCTCGTACAACTGCAGCCTGGCGGTCTGGTGCAAAAATGCAGAACCACCATTCAGACAGTTTCAGATATGTGACACAGAATGTGCAAGTCTTCATTCGAAGTCACCTCTCACAAAAACCAAAGACACTCCGTTTTGCAAGATGCACCATGAGGGGGAGAAGGGAAAGAAGCCCCAAAAGTTCCTGCCACGTCTCCAGAAGTCTCCTAGAGGAATTGACAAAGAGAGGTGCTGCAACAGCTGGTAAGATCAACCTCATGGTTCTCAATCGATACACTTTGTTAATAAACCTCATCCCCGAAGACCAACTTGAGTTGCAATCATCATGGTACTGTTGGAAAAGGTATGAGTAGCTCAACGGGTGCCTGGACCAGTCTTCCTATAGGCAATGGTAGCCAAACCCTGCAGGGATATAGTCGATTTCATCACAAGTATCTGCAAGCTAAGTCCCTGCAAGTTCATCACCTGAGCTTCCAGTCCCAATTCAACTCGGAAGCTATCCATTTGGCAGCCCTTCTCATTTGAATTGAGAAGAACATTAATACAACAGAGGTAATTATTGAGAAGATTGTTATTGGAAGGAAGTCGCGGGCTGTCTCAAGTAGAGTGACTCCCAAGTAATACTCGTGTATGGTCATCACTGAAGAAGCCGGACAACCCCGCCTCAAACCAAGGCATCCATTCGCACCAGAGGCACAGTTGTTCAGATTCCCCTCTCACATAAACCAAAGACACTCTTTTCGCAAGATGCACCATGTTGGAAGAGAAGGGAAAGACGCCCCAAGAGTTCCTGCCACATCTCCAGAAGTCTCCTAGAGGAATTGACAAAGAAAGGTGCTGCCACAGCTGGTAAGATCAACCTAATGGTTCTCAATCGATACACTTTGTTAATAAACCTCATCCCCAAAGACCAACTTCAGTTGCAATCATCATGGTACTGTTGAAGAAGGTACGAGTAGCTTGACGGGTGCCTAGACCAGTTTTCCTATAGGCACTGTTAGCCAAACCCTGCAGGGATATAGTCGATTTCATCACAAGTATCTGCAAGCTAAGTCCCTGCAAGTTCATCACCTGAGCTTCCAGTCCCAATTCAACTCGGAAGCTATCCATTTGGCAGCCCTTCTCGTTTGGATTGAGAAGAACATTAATACAACAGAGGTAACTATTGAGAAGATTGTTATTGGAAGGAAGTCGCGGGCTGTCTCAAGTAGAGTGACTCCCAAGTAATACTCATGTATGGTCATCACTGAAGAAGCCGGACAACCCCGACTCAAACCAAGGCATCCATTCGCACCAGAGGCACAGTTGTTCGGATTCCCCTCTCACATAAACCAAAGACACTCTTTTCGCAAGATGCACCATGTTGGAAGAGAAGGGAAAGACGCCCCAAGAGTTCCTGACATGTCTCCAGAAGTCTCCTAGAGGAATTGACAAAGAAAGGTGCTCCAACAGCTGGCAAGATCAACCTAATGGTTCTCAATCGATACACTTTGTTAATAAACCTCATCCCCAAAGACCAACTTCAGTTGCAATCATCATGGTATTGTTGAAGAAGGTAAGAGTAGCTTGACGGGTGCCTGAACCAGTCTTCCTATAGTAGCCAAAGACTGCAGGGATATAGTATACAAGTATCTGCAATCTAAGTCCCTGCAAGTTCATCACCAGTCTCTTCCAGTCCCAATTCAACTCGCAAGCTATTCAAATTGACAAAGGCATTCCTTTGTTATTGTTCACCCACTGTTTCTTGATCCTGACTCGTGAACGGACATCCCTGAAACACATCCATACAACACTGGGTGTAAGGGGAAACCAACAGAATCGACCCAACAGCATAGTTTGTAAGAAACAGAACTGTGACGTCAGAGGTCGGCAGGTGGAGGTTAGTTTGTTTCTTACATAGTCCGTTACATGTTTCACACTGGGAAAGTGTTGTTTTAAGACCATCCAGATCAAAAAGGCACAACTTGATATGACCACTTTATGACTCAATAAGGTAAGCTCGTAAGACTGCAGCCTGGCGGTCTGGTGCAAAAATGCAAAACCACCATTCAGACAGTTTTAGATATGTGACACAGAATGTGCAAGTCTTCATCCGATGTCACCTGTCACATAAACCAAAGACACTCCGTTTCGCAAGATGCACCATGAGGGGGAGAAGGGAAAGAAGCCCCAAAGTTCCTGCCACGTCTCCAGAAGTCTCCTAGAGAAATTGACAAAGAAAGGTGCTGCAACAGCTGGTAAGATCAACCTAATGTTTCTCAATCGATACACTTTGTTAATAAACCTCATCCCCAAAGACCAACTTGAGTTACAATCATCATGGTACTGTTGAAGAAGGTATGAGTAGCTTGACGGGTGCCTGGACCAGTGTTCCTATAGGCACTGGTAGCAAAACCCTGCAGGGATGTAGTCGATTTCATCACAAGTATCTGCAAGCTAAGTCCCTGCAAGTTCATCACCTGAGCTTCCAGTCCCAATTCAACTCGCAAGCTATCCATTTGGCAGCCCTTCTCATTTGGATTGAGAAGAACATTGATACAACAGAGGTAATTATTGAGAAAATTGTTATTAGAAGGAAGGCGCGGGCTGTCTTAAGTAGAGTGACTCCCAAGTAATACTCGTGTATGGCCATCACTGAAGAAGCCGGAAAACTGTTCGGAGTACCCTCTCAAATAAACCAAAGACACTCTTTTTGCAAGATGCACCATGTGGGGAGAGAAGGGAAAGACGCCCCAAGAGTTCCTGACACGTCTCCAGAAGTCTCCTAGAGAAATTGACAAAGAGAGGTGCTGCAACAGCTGGTAAGATCAACCTAATGGTTCTCAATCGATACACTTTGTTAATGAACCTCACCCCCAAAGACCAACTTGAGTTGCAATCATTATGGTACTGTTGAAGAAGGTGTGAGTAGCTTGACGGGTGCCTGAACCAGTCTTCCTATAGTAGCCAAAGACTGCAGGGATATAGTATACAAGTATCTGCAAGCTAAGTCCCTGCACGTTCATCACCAGTCTCTTCCAGTCCCAATTCAACACTCAAGCTATTCGAATTGACAAAGGCATTCCTTTGTTGTTGTTCACCCACTGTTTCTTGATCCTGACTCGTGAATGGACATCCCTGAAACACATCCATAAGCACTGGGTGAAAGCGGAAACCGACAGTATTGACCAAACAGCATAGTTTATAAGTAACAGAACTCTTGAGGTCAGAGGTCGGCAGGTGGAGGTTAGTTTGTTTCTTACATAGTCCGTTACATGCTTCACACTGGGAAAGTGTTGTTTTAAGACCATCAAGATCAAAAAGGCACAACTTGATATGACCACGGTATGACTCGAGTAAGGTCAGCTCGTACAACTGCAGCCTGGCGGTCTGGTGCAAAAATGCAAAACCACCATTCAGACAGTTTTAGATATGTGACACAGAATGTGCAAGTCTTCATCCGATGTCACCTCTCACAAAAACCAAAGACACTCCGTTTCGCAAGATGCACCACGAGGGGGAGAAGGGAAAGAAGCCCCAAAGTTCCTGCCACGTCTCCAGAAGTCTCCTAGAGAAATTGACAAAGAGAGGTGCTGCAACAGCTGGTAAGATCAACCTAATGGTTCTCAATCGATACACTTTGTTAATAAACCTCATCCCCAAAGACCAACTTGATTTGCAATCATCATGGTACTGTTGAAGAAGGTATGAGTAGCTCGACGGGTGCCTGGACCAGTCTTCCGATAGGCAATAGTAGCCAAACCCTGCAGGGATATAGTCAATTTCATCACAAGTATCTGCAAGCTAAGTCCCTGCAAGTTCATCACCTGAGCTTCCAGTCCCAATTCAACTCGCAAGCTATCCATTTGGCAGCCCTTCTCATTTGGATTGAGAAGAACATTAATACAACAGAGGTAATTATTGAGAAGATTGTTATTAGAAGGAAGGCGTGGGTGTCTCAGTAGAGTGACTCCCAAGTAATACTCGTGTATGGTCATCACTGAAGAAGCCAGACAACCCCGCCTCAAACCAAGACATCCATTCGCACCAGAGGCACAGTCATTGTTCGGATTCCCCTCTCACATAAACCAAAGACACTCTTTTCGCAAGATGCACCATGAGGGGAAAGAAGGGAAAGACGCCCCAAGAGTTCCTGACACGTCTCCAGAAGTCTCCTAGAGGAATTGACAAAGAAAGGTGCTGCAACAGCTGGTAAGATCAACGTAATGGTTCTCAATCGATACACTTTGTTAATTAACCTCATCCCCAAAGACCAGCTTGAGTCGCAATCATCATGCTATTGTTGAAGAAGGTAAGAGTAGCTTACTCTAAGAGTAGAGTAGCACTGTAACCCAGGAGTCCTAAACGGCGAAGAGGACTGACAAAACCAGTGGTTTGCCAGTCGGGGAGTACTAGACTTTCGTTTTACCGACAGCGTGGTTGGAAAGTATGATTATTAAGGCAGAAGTTGTCAATATCATTTCTCACTAAGCTGTGAACCGAGCAACTTGAAGAAACAAGTGGTATCAACGCTGTAGTCTACCTTTGAGAGTTTTGCCGTTAAGGGAATCATCAGGCCAAGGAAGATCAAGTAGGCATCCAAATCCTACTCCGTGGTTGGAAAGTACGCTGACCCCTGATTAGTTATGGAGAGGTTGCCAACGTGACAAGAAAAAAAGGTCAATTTCAAGTATGTTGAGTATTCTTACAAGCTTAAAAGTAAAAGTAAGCCTAGTTAAAAGTTACAAAAACCACAAGAAGAGTTCCTGAAATAACATGTTAAGTTTCTCGCCGAGAAGGCATGTTAAGGGCCCACTGCTGATAAACCCATTCTTTTATTCTTGTTAGTCTTGCAGTGTAACATAGACTGTGAAGAGTGTTGTCGTATAAGACAAGACCAGTCTATCAGTAGCGACCCCAGGAGTTTTGAAGGGGTGGGGTGGGGGGGGGGGGGGAGAAAGCTGAGGTGTTGAAGCCCAGGGGTTAGTTGACCAAAAGCCTTTAAGCAATGAACCCTAATGGACCGATCCAGTAAGCCCCTCCCACTGCGCACGTGGGCAAATTAACACGTGCTCCTCTCCAATGCCACCCTGCATTTTCCTGCCGCGCGCATCATACACGCGTGCATGTATGTCGGACTTTTGTGCACGCATGTCGGACATAAATCACGGCTGTGATTGGTCAGAATACCATGGGGCGGGGCTTACTGGATCGGTCCATTCAGAACATCATTTGAGGTTATTTTTGTTTTCCATTAGAGTAGAAACAATATTTTTAGGTCTAAATTGTCATGGAATCTCTAGCCTTGGTCAATGCTCTCGTCGTTATTCGTCCCGTACGCAATCGTCGCGCTATGCACATGCATGTAAAAATACATCGCGAACAGCGACCTCACGCGGCCACTATATTTATGCCAATCAGTTGGAGACGATGTCGAGCCTTGGTTCAATCGTCGGCCAAAGCTTATGTTTTTCTTTACTTTGCGCTAGATTTCCAGCGCACGACCTCGTATGCGAATACAGATAATGTAGGCGGGGCTAATATGTGGAGTGTCCAATCACACCTTGATAAATCCGGACGTCATCAAATTATTTGCAGCTCTTCGCCTTTTGCGGACGTGACAGGAACCACAGTTTTTGTGCATTGGTGCCGTGTGCAGAGACACGCAATGCGTTCGTGTATGGATTATGTACGGTGCCACGTTTCACTATGCAAGTTTCCATGCAACGATCGACCAATAAGAAAACGACATTTAAGGTCAGCTAAGGCTATTAACTTAATGAGCACCATCCCCAAAACCTCACATGGACGATTGAACCAAGGCTCGACATCGTCTCCAACTGATTTGCATAAAAATAGTGGCCGCGTGAGGTCGCTGTTCGCGCTGTATTTTTACATGCATGTGCATAGCGCGTGGGGATAAAGCCGACGATTGACCGCGTACGGGACGAATAACGACGGGAGCATTGACCAAGGCTATGGAATCTCAGAACACATACATGTACATAGGTCTTTTCCTCAAACATGAACTCTGGTTGGTCCACATTTTTGTAGACTACTGACAAAATAAACTTAATATATTTATCAATAAGCAGCGATCACCTTTTGGCATGGGGGTCATTCTAAAACAATTGAGGTCCCTATTCCGTCCCTATTCCTAGGGCCAGATAAGTATTCCGTAGGCCCTAGGCACCAGAGTTCTGTACGCCCTACTCTCTAAATTCCAAAGAGTGAAAATTCACTCCATTCGAGTGATTCACTCCCCCAGTCGGAAACTAGGGACTAGACATTTTAGAGTGAAATTTCTTCAATCGTTAAGATCGAGTTTCACTCGAGCTTCGAATGAAGAGGTTCATTTTGCAGACTATGTCAATCGAAAATGAGAGTGATTTTATGTCTAGTCCCTAATTACACTCTTTGGAATTTAGAGAGTACTCCGCCCTAAGCACCAGCACAAATTTCATGTTGATGCTAAGCAGTACTTTAGCAAGCCAGGCCACACTGTGGTATTTTCATAGGTCCCCTAAATTTTTGTAGGCCCTCGGCAATGTGCCTGCTGGATTATCCAGGTAAAATCTGGATGCCCTTGAATGGCAAATTACAAAAGTTTCAGGGGTAACAATGTGACACTTTGTACCCTAACGTTAGAATGACCCATCTCAAAGTAGTAACAACCTCCCATGCATGATGCAACAATAAATGTGGAAAATGAAACAAAAGTGTGCAGATTGTACGTACACTAAACAAAGCTAAAAATATACAATGTCTTCTAGTTTTAAAAGCATGCAATACTGTCAATAACCAAAAGAATGTGGCACAGAGATGTTCATTATAAGATGGAATTTTGCGTCAGGATGATATAAATCAAATTAGGTTTTGCCCTTCACCGACGTTTAAACACTGTATACTCAGTGTGTTACCTCCCGAGTGAAAGTTGGAAAAAATCACTCGGGTGGGACTCGAACCCACGACCTCCTGCTTTCTAGTGCAGAACCTAAAACCTAAGGGCAAAACCTAATTTGATTTATATCACCCCGACGCAAAATTCAATCTTATAATAGTTTATGCGGTACCCGCTGCTATGTACATCAGATTCGAACCAGCCAACCGATCCCGTTAGCTCGGTGGTCGAGAGATGTTCATGTTTACCATTTTGTGGACCAGCAATGAATGCTGATTGACTTAATTTATCTGGTGTTGTAGGTGAAGCATTTGTGATGGACCACAAGTACATCATGAGCCCCGTCACAAGTAAATCCACATTTCAATCCCTAGCGGTGCGATGTTTCAGCGAGTCGCACGAGGCAGGCGCCTTTAACACACGCCAACAGGCTGCAATGGATCTCTTGGGAATTTTCCATTTCTGCTCGAGAAATTCCGAGCAGATTTGTGTGTGCATTTGTATGCGTGCATGACGTAAGCATGTACTTGTGATGGACAAGTGTAGTCTTGCTCCAAGTCTGGATTTTTACATTTTTTGTTCCTGAATGCAGCTAGCCTCAATCCTTGGCAAGAGCAGTCACGCGGCCACAGAGGGAGAAGTAATATCAACTAGGTGAATCAAATCCAGTCTGGGGGAGTTTGGCGCTGGGACCCAAGAAATTTCAACTATACCTCACGCGCACATTCAGCTTAACCCTAACAACCCTGAGCCCATCAAGCTCCAACAGCGGGTTTTGCTTGATTTTGGCAGGGTTGGTACCGAACACTGGCCAGCTGGTGTTGGACTTTGATTGACTGGGTACCAAAGGCCCAGGGAGACCCTGTTGAATTTTGTGAGGTTCGGGCAGAAGAGCATGAGATTTGTGAACACGTTGGAGTTTGAGGGAGTTCACTGGCATTTCTTCAAGGGTATGCTCATCCACGGTCCTCAGCACAGTTTGTGGTCAAATGTGCATGTACATATTGCTTTATTTTGTTAGGTTTGGTAACATCCCTATCCAATCACTCGACAATGCATAGGCCCATCCATACCAAGTCAATCAAACTCCAACAGTTGGAGTTTGGCAGGTTTAGTACTGTTCCCCGTACAATGCCTGTTGGAGTTTGGCAGTTTTGGTACCACTACTTACAGACCTGTATGCAGCTGTTGAAATTTGTTAGGTTTGGTATACTTTCTAGTGCAAGAACCTAGGGGGTTAGGGTTAAGTGCGGTGTGCTTTGTCAGGGATTGTCTGCATTAGGGTCATAAAACCAAAGCCAGTCTGCAAACAAGGCTAGGACTTGTGATCTACCACACATACCTTGAATGCAAAGAGTTTACTTCCAAAACGTAATAAATCCATTTTGAAAAAAAAGTGAAATATTTGCACGTTTATCAAAGTGTAACCCTAACCTGACCAACTCCATCAGAATCCAACATCCAATTCGGAGGGATTTTGGCAGATAAGCCATGTGTACCAAGTCCATCAAAATCCAAATGGTGGATTTCCATGGATTTGATCCTGAAGCATTTTGTGAAGCAGAGTAAGTGATGGATTTTGACAGACATGGTCTTCAACTTAGTTAACTCTTTCAGTGCCAAACTCGTAAACGTACGAGGTAATGTTCCTGATTAAAATCGTCAAACCTCGTACATGTACGAGGTAGAGTAGACATGTTATCAAACGGGGGCGCTCTTGCTCTTTCCAATGGTACCATTTTCATGCATGTACGACCTGTATTTATTTTTTATATTCGAGTTCTTGCGAGAGGGCGCGGCACTAAAACTCGTATTTTCTGCAAAAAGTGCGGAATTCCCCTGTGTGCAGGACAGTGTTTCAGGGTGTATCACTATGTATGTGACTACTATTGCCTTTCCAATATACCAAGGATATACCAGAGAGCAACAACAACAAATTTAGTGAGTAAAACTTATTTACTTTTTTTTTTTTACAAAATTTTGAACAATTAACAAAAACTCTTGAAGTTGGGCACTTTAGGGTTAAACTTTTCAAATTTCGCGGGCACTGAAAGAGTTAAACTAAGCAGGGAGCTAGGGTTAAAGAAGAACAGCAATATACCAGCTGTTTCTAAACTTAATTTTTAGGTTTATTGCCTTCTTAAATTGTGTTTAACTATACAGGGTGAGTAAAAAAAACCTGAAACCCAAACGTTGGGACTATTGTTTTAATGAAGTTCTGCATGTAACACTTTCAAAATTTAGGATATGAAAGCCCTGTTCATAAGCTTTCTTTTAGTACAAGAATCATTCAAATCACTTATGTACTTTTCAAGTTACGGAATTTTAAACACAACCACTGTTTTAAGGTTCTGTCCACGGATCACAAAAAAAAGAGGTGAGCGTTCTTTCAGCAAAACGAAAACAAAGCACATCCCTACTGTGATTTCTTTTCGTTTTGCTGAAAGAACACTGAATTTTTGTGATCTGTGAACAGAACATTAAAACAGTGGCTGTGTTTAAAATTCCGTAACTTAAAAAGTACATGAGTGATTTGAATGATTCTTGTACTAAATGAAAGCTTATGAATTGGGCTTTCATATCCTAAATTTTGTAAGTGCTACATGCAGAACTTCCCTAAAACAATGGTCCCAACATTTGGGTTTCCGTTTTTGTTTGACTCACTCTGTAAAACACTGTGTCTAAGATTCTCTGTACATCACGTGTACACAGGTTTCTCCCCAGTCTGCTTGTGGGCCAGATAGTGGAACGCGATGCTGGACAGAGCGCTGATCAGGAAGATGACGTCAAACCAACGATGGTAGAAGTTGAACTGCAGATCCCCGAGGACCTCCGTGATGATCATGCGATACTGGGGCGGCATGTTCATGCGCATGAGGAGCACCGACGACACAAAATACATGCCCTGAGGTAACAAGATGGAAATCATTCAGAACTATTACCAAATCAGCATTTATCCAAGAAAATAAAACGGCCGCCTGATTAAAACATTGGCATAAATGTGCGGCGTTCTGGCAAAATTAGACAGAAATGGGCACAGGCCATATTTGAGAGAAATGCGAAAAAATGGTAGCAATTTTTTTTTGATATTCAGAATTGTTAATATTTGCAATTTTTGATATGTCACTGCACGTATTTTAAAGATACAGTATTAAAAATTGTGGAATTAAAGTTTTTAAGGATAACCAATTGGCATCTTTCAGTTTCACAAATACAAAATTGGAAACTTCAAAGACCTTTTCCCAGTGTTTTACTTTTTGACATGTTGCTAAATCCGAAGCCAAAACTTGTCAACGGAATGTCCCATTGAAGTGCAACAAACAGTATTGCATGGAGAATTTTATTCTTTTTCCTAATACCTGCGAACCCTCATTTCAACCTCTGCCCAGTTACGTTTCATTTTGCTAGAAGACTCACAAGTGTGAAGAATATTTGTTCACCCATTTTCATTCGAATGCAGTAAAAAAAAAAGACACTCTGCTATGGATTCTGTTGAAACCTACCCTAAGTGATCTGTGCTTATTCAGGGAATTTTCTTGCCATAACTTAGGCCCCCCAAAAAAAGTCTCCGGTTTCTGGTAGGCGCACGTGTCGCCGTAGCCATGCGCGTCGGCAAAATGAAAAAGTTTTTTCCAATGAAAGATGATGTCTCAAAACCGCCAAACTCACTGGATTGACTGGAATCCTGCTGCTGCACAGTTTTAACGTGTTTTTAGATTGGGTTATGGTCGACAATAAGCTTTATGTGGCCTCTCTGGACTCCCATATATTTGCACTAAGTTTAGTTGGGAACCATTTGCAGTCATCAGCCAACTTTTGAGGCAAAAAAATCAGGTAAAAAAAAAAAAAAAGCCGCGTTGCCGCACCACTTTTTGGGCAAGCTCCATACCAGAAACCGGAGACTTTTTTTTTTTGGCCTTACGGTGTACTTACCATTGTTTGGGCAAGCAGAAGAACGATGACATTGGAAGACTTGCTGCTGGACATGGTGTAAAAAAACTGCAAGATGCAAAGAAATCAAGTTGACATGTAGAGTGTGGAAACCCATACCTGCCATATAACTCTATGCTTCATGATTATTACTCGCACATTTAACAGGCATGCAACTTGTAAGGAGCAAAACACGAGGAAACTCCAATCTTGACAAGACTTTGTAGAGTGTTTTTCAATTGTGAATGGCATAAGTGTGAAGTTAAAACAAAACGAGGAAATCAGCTGATTCAAGGAGAAGCTGCATGCCTGATTTAAAATTTCAATAAAATTGCAAAGAAATCAAGCACAGCAGCTACAAAAGCAAGTTTCTTTTTAATGAACTTAAAATATTGCATTTTAAATCAAACTGACAATGGATATTCTCCTTTACATATTAAGTTATAAACATATGAATTTTACCCTTGAATATATGAATAATAACCCTAAAATTTAACCTAACCTTTGTGAGTTTTATCAGCAGACCTCGGATCGACGTGACAATGATGATACCAACCAGAATAAATGACACGTGTTGTGACCAGAATGTAACCTGGGAAGGAAAGATTAAAAACTCAGTCATACACAAATTAACAGAAATTAAAAATATGTCAAATGTCTAAAAGGTTCTTGGTTACACGGTACAGATTTTTGTAAATTCACTAAATGTAGTCTTTATTCACATGCAATATACAAACAGAAAGCTTAGTGGATTTCCTTACAGCTAGACTATACTTCAGGGCCCAATTTTAGGTCTCTAAAATCCCCTATGCCCCCCCCAACAAAAAACCCAAAATTTGCCCCTCAGACTTTTGTTTTTAAAAAAGTACATGTAAATCAACTAAAAGGGGAATGTAGACACACAGTTTTCAAGTTGATGCTAATTCCCTTCACCCTATGGACTTTTGAAATAATTATAAATGAAGAGACAAGAAAATGGGGAAAGAGCGCCCCCTAGTGTCAAACAAGGTCCAACCCCCCCCCCCCCCTCGAACTTGCAGCAACTGGCTATGGGCCCCCGAGAACTTTTTAGGCACAATTTGTTAGTGTGCATCTGCCCTTGGTGTCCCCCCATAAAATGATGCTGCCCCCCCCCCCCCATTAAAAAAATCCTGGCTACGCCACTGTACCCCCCCCCCCCCCCATCTTTAATTAACCAATAAGAATTGGGGCCCCATTGAAAAAAAAATTCCCAATTTGCACCACGCCCCCCAACTTAAATCTTGACTATTTGGTTTTATGAATTCCACAAGGAATAAATAAAATGTAAAAAACATATAATGCAATTGTTAATGTTCATGTGGAAGAGCACTTATCTGAAATGAAATGGATTTACTCAAGTCAGTTTTTTCAAAATCTCTCCAAGCCAAAACCAGAGACAAAACTGAGGGAAGGAATCTCCCCCCCCCCCCCCCCCGGCCTCTACTCATAAAAATACAAATGTTCGACCATCCAAAAGTAAATGCAATGACTCACATCAAACTCAATGCCCAACCAATGGACAGCGATCTCCACGCCTTTCGTCACCGGATCCGTCTTGCCGACTCGATCAAAGATGATATTGATGGTGCAGATGACAATCTTCCAGAGGCAGTACATGGAGAAGACGTAGCCCATGATGTTGAAGTATTTCCCCTTGAGAGTTTTGGAGTACTCGATTCTTTCCTAGAGGCAACAAAGGCAATGTAGAAAAGTGTACTGTCACTCTAACTTTCTTGGCTTGTTTGCTAAGAAACTCCAAAAAACTTCAGAAATCCTCAACTACATGTACATGTATCCAAAATAAGATCTGTAACTTTGCATGGCAGAAGTGTTAAAGGGAATATACATCATTTGCTTTTGCTGCTATATTCAGAAATGGATGGAATTGGGGGGTTGGAAATATATAGCAAATATAGTTACACTGACTTTTTTGAAGTTTTGGGTTCGAAAATGCTATAAAAACCAAGAAAAACAGTCATGTTCCTGTAGTCTGGTTCCCTGACTCCATATAAGAAGAAACAGAGCAGTTTACATACATTGGGGAATTGTAAGGTCAGGGAACCAGTCTAGTTAACTTGTACCCGTTCATAGGTGTGTAATCCATTGCAAACAAGTGCGATGGTCAATTGGGGCCAGTATTTGAAAAAAGCCAGTTTTTTTCCAACACTGGTCGGCCGACCAGCGTTGGAAATTGATACAAAAATACCACTTTTCTTGAAAATGACAGTATACATGTACCAGGTGCCATGATTTTACAGGATGCTTTACACTGTCATTCACTAACAGTCCAGCAAGGTATTTCAAAATGATTTGGTAGTTTTATTTTTTGATGTTTGCAAATTTTGTATTTTCCCTTTAACTAGTAAGATTTTACGGTAACACCATTTGGAAGAATCTCTTTTCAGAAGATGTGTGGTTTTGAACTGGTTGCTTAAACGTCTTCGGGGGAAATAAAATGCAATATGAAGACCATCAGAGCATGCTGATTGGAACGTCAAGTTTCACACCGACCGTTTTTTTTCTTCAGAACCATACATTTTCTCAAAAGAGATTCTTTCACATGGTGTTACTGCCAAACACTCACTTGTTTACATGTATTCACAAACCAGTGGACAGATTCTTTGTTCTGCTAAATTCAAGGGATATCAAGCCCTGTGTAAAGTAATCATTGCAGTCCTTCTGATTTGAAAATCACAGGCGTGTGGGAAAAATGCACACCTGGATTTCTCTAGGTGTGTGTTTTTTCTAGGTGTGTGGTTTTCTAGGTGTGTGATCTGTGGTCCAGGGAAATGCAGGCGTGCAATTATTCACACTTCTCGGGAAGCTTTTAGGTGTGTGATGGTGTGGGGGTGTGATCCCACGCCTCAAATCAGAAGGACTGCATTGCTGCTCCCAACAACCTCACGGTAGACAGTTGGAAAATCTGAGAGGGTTCAAGTTCAAGAGGGTGGGATTATCCCTTCCTTAGAGAAACAAAGATGCAATACAAAGGAATCCAGCCCTATGTTTACATTTTCAAAAGAGAGGGGTGGATGTTGGACCCCCCCCCCCCCCTTCTCATCTCAAAAATGGCAAAAAATGGCGTGCTGGTAGGGACTTTCATGCTGAGTAAATATGAAAACTTGTAGCTCAATCGAACAATGAGTTTTGTAATAATGATTATGAGGGTTTTTTTTACAATGGGTAACAATTAAGGGTAAACACAAGATTTCTCCATCAAATTAGGTTTTGCCCTTCACCGACGTTTAAACACTGTATACTCAGTGTGTTACCTCCCGAATGAAAGTTGGAAAAAAATCACTCGGGTGGGACTCAAACCCACGACCTCCTGCTTTCTAGTGCAGACGTCTTACCACTTAACCACCGAGCTAACGGGATCTGTTGGCTGGTTCGAATCAGTATCCCTGATGAAAATGTGATTTTTTTTGGACATTTTTTTGTGACATCCATAAGACTGCTAATTCATAATAGATTAAACTCCCAGGGAGATGTTTCAAAAGAAATGTTCAGCCAGGTTAAGTGCCCACATTGGCTCGAAACAAAAATAGCAAATAGCGCCCTCAGTCATCATGCGTCGGACGAGTACCTTTGTGCTGTTGAGGTCAACCAACTCCAGGAACAGCTGTCTGCTGAGTTCTTCATATCCCGCGACCTCTTGCTGGAGTTGACCCAGATCTGACAAGAAAACTCAAGTTAAGGAATCCACAAGATAACTCCGTGCTGGCTTTGAAAACGACTACATAGAATTTCTGGCAAAAACTTTGAACAATTACTTGCGGTAACTCTTTACAAAATTTTGGCGATTCACAATGCAGTGCGCCACCAAGAGTTTGCCACGGAGAGTTCAGTTTTACCAGTGCATTGTGGGAAATGGTTGACAAACTGGCAGCGTGGGACATTTGAAATTGTTAGTTTTTTTTTTGGTCTGTAGTTTCGTAAGCGTATGATTCGAGTATCTGTTTACCCTTTTGTTTTCTTTTTATCAATATGGTGTTTTTTGTAAGGCGGCAGAACGCTATGCCCAAATCTATAACAAATTAGCTCAAGCTGTCTACCGACACTCATTCAAATTGTTCATGCTGTGTCGACCGTAAACTTAAAAAATAGACTCTCCATGGCAAACTCGTGGTGGCGCACAGAATTGTGAATCGCTCGAATTAATTCCAATGCGAATTCATGCAGCTGAAGGCGTTCCTAAGTAAACTGCTCAACACCTGTCACTGGTGACCAGACTTATGGTTTGCTTTCGACCAACCTCGTGATGGAATTGACTATGACAGAGTTCAAGAGTTCAGGATTTTACTCAAGCTGGAAAGGATACTGGCCCCTCCAGACGATGTGGCTACACTCTTCAGCATTCCCCAGATTCCTGACGCCTGCTTACGATTGGAGGATGCTTGCTGCAGCTGGTCCCTCTCAATTAGTAGTATCCTGTACAGTGACAAATATATATACACTGAAAACAGGTGTGCATAACACAAACAAATTAGTGTAGTCTGGGGAGACCACTGGTCTCTCTATCTGACGTGGATGGGCAGTAAGGTTGCAGTGACTGATGAAGCCATGCATCTGCCATAGTAGTTCACCCAAAAGCTACACGTGTCACACCGCGTGGCATGAGACAGTGTTGTAGTCCAGGCCCTGCAAGACCAACTCAAGACCATCACAAGACAACTCAAGACCATCACAAGACCAACACAGGACCACAACAAGACCATCACAAGACCATCACAAGACCAACACAAGACCATCACAAGACCACCACAAGACCATCACAAGACCAACACAAGACCAACTCAAGACCAACACAAGACCATCACAAGACCATCACAAGACCACCACAAGACCACCACAAGACCATCACAAGACCAACACAAGACCATCACAAGACCATCACAAGACCATCACAAGACCATCACAAGACCAACACAAGACCATCACAAGACCATCACAAGACCATCACAAGACCAACTCAAGACCATCACAAGACCAACTCAAGACCATCACAAGACCATCACAAGACCATCACAAGACCATCACAAGACCATCACAAGACCATCACAAGACCATCACAAGACCATCACAAGACCATCACAAGACCATCACAAGACCATCACAAGACCTCCAGTCTCAAGTCAAGTCACAAGCTATTCAAATGAACTGTTACAAAGGCATTCCTTTGTCATTGTTCATGCCCTGGTACTTGTGGCTGGTCTTGTGAATTGTCCTGTGATGGTCTGCACTACAACACTGGCATGGGAATAACAGTGTGTACGCTATGCAGTGCACAGCACGATGCTACATGTAGGTGAAATAAAATGGCTGCTCAGCAGCGTGTTGGCAATGATCACAGCCTATCCACATCAATAATGGAGTCCAGTTAATAATGCTAAGTATAATGCTACATAAATAAATAATGCTAGTTCTTGAAATAGAGTGATGAGCTAAGGAGTAAGTCTTTGAGTCATGAGGGTATGAATAAAAAGGTGTCTAGTGTACTGTAGGCCCATGTGTGTAATTTAATGAGCAAAGAATTTGTTTTATGCACATGCGTGGGATAATAGATTTTGCACATTTCCTTTCAACGACTGCTACATCAAGCAGTGAAAACAAGCACAATACAGCCACCAAATTGACAATTTGGATGCATCTTGCTTATGATGTGTTTAGTGACATCGGTCTTAGGACGCATCTTAGCTAAGATCCATCTTAGAGTGGGGACTCCTCGTAAGCCCTAAGATGAGTCGTAAGATAAGACTGGTTTGGTGAAATTGACTCCTATATTGTGAATTGCTTGAATTGGTGCACTTGTCATTTCGTTACCTCTTTTTCTTGGTCAGTATCATATCCATGACTTGCAACAGCTTCCTATCGTGGGCCTGAATGTCTGCATCACTCACATCCCTGTCAAACAATTTAAAAAAAAATTATATTTTTTGAGAAGTGTTTTTGTAATGGCCAATTAATGGTCAATGTCATCATGTGCACCCTGATCTCGGTCGATCATCTGCAAGGGCAGACATAGGGCGGGGCTGTTAGTACAAGCCAGTGTTGGAGCAAAGGCTTTGACCCTCAAGGCCAAGGCCAAGGCCAAGGCTTTGACCCTCAAGGCCAAGGCCAAGGCCAAGGCTTCGACCCTCAAGCCTCGAGGCCAAGGCCAAGGCTTAACCCTCAAGGCCAAGGCCAAGGCCAAGGCCCTGTTTTATGAAATGACCACTGATATAGAACTAATTATAGTCACGAGTGACACATCATCACGCAAGGGCGGATCCAGAACACAATTGGGGGGGGGGGGGGGGCAAAGAAATGTTGGTCCCCCCCCCCAAAAAAAGTGGGTCAAAAGATTACGGCTTGGGCTTCGGGGCCCGCTTAAGGGCCCCGAAAAAAAATTTGGATTCGAGATGCTCTGTGGTGCGATTTGAGGCAATTTCTGACCATTTTAACCGATGTTTATTTAGGAAAAGATGGTGGTGTACTCATTGCCTGCCTTTATTACGACGTCACATAAAAAAAAAATGGTTTCGTGTTTTTTTTGGGGGGGGGGCGTGGCCCCTTTTGACCCCCCTGGATCCGGCCTTATCATCACGAATTGCTCGTTACGAAGAACAACATTTCTTAATTGCAATCAACATGCTCGCATAGGCCTACACCGTTTTATGACTGCACTGTATCTATTAACGTATAAGTTCAGGTCTTCAATATGGTTTAACTAAACAAAATAATGATTTACTTCTATATTGACACACAATTCTCCCAAGTGTAACAAAAGGGGGATCCAAGAAACTGATTTGGGAAATTTTTATTTGCTGGCCCAACATGGTCAGAAATATCAGCATTATCTAAAACAGATACATGCAAATCTTTAGCACTTATCAGGGAGACATATACAACCAATCAAATCTATTCCATAGTTATATGCAATTAAAGTGATCATCTCATTAGCCCCACAAGTGTACGGAATATTGTTGCAGCAAATCTACTACAATGGTAACAACATGTGATGCTATAAAAGTGGAAGTGTGCCTAACACACAAATCTATATGGTGCTTCCCTCCTCCATCGTACATGTAATACGATTAAAATGGTAACAGCAAAATTTCGAACAGATTTATCTGGAAAATGCAAAACTCTATGGGCCTTGAAGAGCCTTGACTCAAAATTGCAAGGCCCTGAACCCTCAAGGCCAAGGCCAAGGCCAAGGCTTTTGCCCTCAAGCCTCGAGGCCAAGGCCAAGGCCCTAAAATCCAGCCTTAAGGCAGCCTTAAGGCCAAGGCCCAGCATCAAGGCACTACATCACTGGTACAAGCGGGCAATATAACGGTTGCTGAGCCAAGATATAATAATAATACCGGTAATTACCCTGGATTGGACATTTGGGAGACATCCCTATAGACTTGTGCACACAATTTTTCAAACTTCAATGTGCCCTAACCCAATATTCCCTTGTCCTTTTCCCACGAATTTCTGAATGTTTACTAATTAGACCACGAGCAACAAATATAACCTGATTGCTACAGCAAAATTGTGCCTCTAAAGGGGGGCTGTGACATTAGGGAGACATGAAAATGTCTCCCATCGAGCGTAGAAATTAAGATAACGTGTCTCCTTAATAGTACCATTACACGTATATGTGTTTCATTTTTTGAAGTTACACATTTTAGTTTCTTGACTATTGACTTTGTTAATTTCATCATTCCCCTCCCCCCTCCCCCCGGCACAAACTTACGCCAGTGGAGTCACTTACCGAACAAAATACGCCATGTAGGTGTATGGACAGTTAACGGCACCAAACCCGGACAGAACGGCGATGATTGTGACCCCAATGACCCCAATACGACTCATAACCTGCTCCATGGAGAATATACCTGCAAACAAATAAAAATCATTATAAAAATACAGCATCCTTATCGATTGGATCCATCAAATGATTGTTCCAGTTGTTAAATATAGCCATATACATGTACTGCCACCAATGCTCAGTATGCTGTACATATATAAAATGCCACAGAGATACGCGATGTGTGCGAGAAATGCATGCAGGTGAAGAACAAGTGTCTGGTTTTGCGTTTGGTCACGCCTAGGTAAAAGTGTCCTTGGTTATTTGTTTGATGTTACAAAACATGTTTCTGGTTTATGATCATGATAATGCACCCCTGATATATTGAAGAAAATTTAAAAAAACAAGTAAAAAACAAATCTCACCATGTTTGCGACTGAGTATGGGGAAAGGGTCCCCCAACTTCCAGAAGAAGTAGACGAAGACAAGCCACGCCCCCAGAGTGAGTGGGAAGGTCAAATGACGATTCTGAACTGCAGAGGAGAAAAGAATCCACGTGTGTGTTAGGGGAAAATATGGACAACAAGAGCTATCTCAAATTCAGGGAAATCAGGTTGGTGCACGGGTGCTTTCCTTTTTTGGCCCGGGTTCGAATCACACCAAACTGACCTTTAGGTCCTACCCCCGGAAATGTCATTATGGGTTTTTTTCACATGCTTAACACATGCACGCAACTGTGAATTTAGAAAATATGAGGAAATTCCAAACCACGCAAGACTTTGTACAGTGTTTTTAAATCTGTAATGGCATTCATGAGAAGTAATCCGGACCACGTTCTCGTTCAGCTGATTGGAGCTACGCGATATCGCGCACTGAACCGACAAATTATAGCAACCGTGCGAGCTTGTTTGTCGTGTCGACGCTTGCGCGCGCCCATTCAACTGAATGCCCCTCCAGCCAGTGGTCTCCCCCAACTCTCTCTTTGCAACCATTGAGGGGGTACTTGTGCACGGAATCCATAACTAAAGGCTTGCACGGCTTGTGTATTTCTAATCATTAACCAAAGGAGGCCCAAGGTGTATTTTGGATACCAATTGACGATGTTGGACATTATTATCCAACTCCTGCACAAGTCTATTAGGGTCATGAAAACTTAGCCCTCCTGCTGTCTGAACAGTCACAGACAGTTAAAAAAATAAATCCTGCTCCCTTGCCATGCCTAGGCTAGTCACCAACAGTCAGATCATATTTCCTGTAACCAATGTGACTAGTCAAATTCCATCGACAAAAGCAGGTGACTGGTAAGTACAGCTGGCGTATCTCCTTCAGTCAAAGCATCAAGTTTCATAACCAGTCACATGCAGTCAGTTCTGCTGTAAACAGAGAGCTCTTAACCTTGAAAAGCAGTCAACTGATTGATTTGACTACTGGCATGACTGGAATGGCTTTGCTGTAGTTGCCAGCCAGTGAGGGAAAGTTGAGATTAGGGTTAAGGTTGGGGGCATGGTTGTTCTTGCTAGAGGAAGTGCAACTCCTTACCGATGCGTATGTTGGTGAAGATGAACCAGGCGACATAGAAGGGAAGAATGACAATCAGTATGAAGAGGATGGCGTACAGGTCAAACTTCCAATGGAATAAACGTGAGCTGAAACACAACAAAAATAACATAATTGTCTACATTTCTACAGATCACATTACCGGTTGTGGCAGTACCGGTAGGTATCTAAAATAATTGAAAGAACACAAAATGTTTGCGAGGAATACTTCAGCCACAATCTTGAAGAATATTCCCAACTGGATACATCTTCAAAGTGTGGATTGCTATTAATCCTCCTGCTATATAAACAGCCACAGACAGTCAAAATTCACTTCCACTTCCCCTGCTATACTTTTAATAAAGGCCAGTCACCAGCAGTCAGGTCATATGTCAAGCAAGCGCTGTGACTAGTCAAACTGGCTCAACAGACAAAGCAGGCAAATTGTAGTCACAGCTGTTTTACCACTCACCGGGAGTCCACGCATACATGTAGCTGTTCCAAGCTACTTAAACAGTCCCAGCCAGTCAATCCTGATTTTATGTAAGCTGGGAATTCTTAACTGTTGAAAACAGTCACTTGTTTGATTTTGAAAGGACTTTTTGGCACAGAATGTATGTTTACTTTATAGGACGGTTAACATGTTCCATTAATTGAAAGATGCCATTTAGACCGATCTGATCGGCAGAAGCTAGAGAGAATAATGCTTGATATTTAGCACTACAAAACAATACAATAAAACTTTACAATACAATACAATAAAACTTTATTATCCCATTGCGGGAAATTCCATGGCCTTTTTACACGTTATTTGGTTTAAAACACATTCATAAAAAGCACGAATGTAAAAACTACACTAATACAAAAATACAAACATTAAACATTAAAAAAAAAAAAAAAAAATTAAGTGATGTTTAACCTACTTCGTGTTGAGCACACCCAGGATCTCAAAGATGATAAGCTCAAATAACGTGCAGGACAGGGCGAAGGTTGCAGAGAAGACCAGCTGTACAATCACATGGCGAACCTGAAAATAATTCATAACATATGAAGAAAGCTATCAACAGTGTTCAACCTTAACGTTTTTGTTCACTAGCCAGCTGGGCTACTGAAACAGACTCTTAACTTGCCCGCAGACATTTTTACAAGTCCGCATATTTTTTTTCTTTTATTGAGTGTCTCATAAACAACAATGTGCCTGAAAGTTGACCCCTGGTCGCACGCTTCAGGGCCCATCGAAAAGAAAAATTAACGTGTAAAAGTCAGAGTTTTTGATACATTGATTTCTTAAGAAAATCACCCTCGGAATTGTATGGAAATTAAAAAATCGCATGAGTTGAAAGAGAAATATCCTGATAAGGAATGGTTTGACTAGAACGCCGCTGTTTTTACTAGCATTTGGCTAGCGGGCTACCGCTAATTTCAAACCCTGTGTCAAGTGCATTCCACTTCATTTTGTAAATCAAGTAGTAAAACTCCAGAAATACATGTCGGCTTCATGTATTGATGTGATGAGAACTTCATTCCCCACTTTAATTTTCAATGAGCATGTGTGTAAGGTCCATGCATATGACGTCATCAGAGGCTATAGAGAGATGCACAATTGACCTCACTGAGGTCAAATCTGCATATAAGGAAAACGGCCGTGCATACCCCCTATTGTCAGGGTTTGGTCACCTTTTTCATGCCCCAGGGTTCGGATTTCGATCACTCAAAAACATAGTTACTATCGACCACTGGCGCATGGAAAGGCAATCACTAGTGCGCCCCAAGTAGTAGGGGAGGTGGGGGAACCGGAGCAAAATGGAAAAAATCTGCGGCAAGCCTGAGCACGCCGCTCTCGATTCTAAAAATAGTTGGGGAAAAATATAGGGGAATCCCCCGATCTCAAAAAAAAAAAAAAAAAAAAATCTGACGCCGGGTGTGGGGGAGAAAAAAAAAAAAAAAAAAAAAAAAAAAAAAAATCTGACGCCGGGTGTGGGGGAGAAAAAAAAAAAAAAAATCTGACGCCGGGTGTGGGGGAGAAAAAAAAAAAAAAAAATCTGACGCCGGGTGTGGGGGAGAAAAAAAAAAAAAAAAAAAAAAAATCTGACGCCGGGTGTGGGGGAAAAAAAAAAAAAAAAAAAAAAAAAAAAAATCTGACGTTGGGAGAGAGAGAGAGCAAAAAAAAAAAAAAAAAAATCTGACGCCGGGTGTGGGGGAGAAAAAAAAAAAAAAAAAAAAAAAATCTGACGCCGGGTGTGGGGGAGGAAAAAAAAAAAAAAAAAAAAAAAATCTGACGCCGGGTGTGAGAGAAAAAAAAAAAAAAAAAAAAAAAAAATCTGACGTTGGGAGAGAGAGAGAGAGTCACCACCACGTGACCTTGAAACGTGTTGAGGCACGATAAAAATTTGGCGTAAACAACGCGACCTTGAAAAATGTGTGAGTCACCACCACGTGACCTTGGGAATTTTTACTACAGTCAAGCTCTCATGGTTTATGAAATAATTGATCGCCCTCCAAAAAAAATGAGAAAAAAAATATTATATTTCTTATAATAAAATGGAGAGTAATATGTTCAGACCGACCGTCAAAGGATATTCTAAATGGAACAAAGCTACGCTGCGTGATTACGTGCAGCGGTATAATATACCGCACAATGAAAATGTTTCTCTTACTCGTAAAGTCTACATCGAGGGGATAAAAAATTATGAAAGTCAATTTAAAAACTTGAGGAAAAAGAAACTTTATGAGCTCAAACAGATTGTAGACGAACAAAATCTAGAATACGTACCGACGGGTTATAAAGGACGAGTTTTGAAAAAAGATTTACTCTCGGCGATTAAAACATACAGACAACCCGAATACTTTACAGAGTCAGCTTTTAGAGAAACGAGAAGGTTTAGAAATTACTACAGAAACTGGGAATTAAATCCCAGACTTTATAACCACGATTTAATCAAGTTTTTTGATTCACACAAGGAACAAATAGTCAATAAAATCAAGTCTGAATTGAGAGAGCTCAGAGGTTTAAAAGTAGAGCTTGTATTAAAAATAAGGTATCGAAAAATCAAACCGGATGGTACAATCGAAACGATCGAAGCTATTCATTATAGCAAACCGAAAGCCGTTTTAAATCAAAGTCAAATAAAACAGGTTTTAAAAGAGGAGATCGAAGAGCTATTCAAAAAGGATGAAAGGTATACGAATCAAGGATCGGGTTGGGCAGTCGATACAATACTCGCGTTATACATCAACATCAACAGATATAATCCAGCGAGAGGTAGTTCTTACATAAACCTACCCGAACATCTTAAAATTAAACAGGCGATGATCAACGTACAAAACAAAGACAACGAGTGTTTGAGATGGTGTTTGAGATCTGCCTTGGGGTTATACACAGACAAAGTAAAAAATCAAATAAGAAATAATCCTAAATATAAAATCAACGAAAGCAGACCGTCGATTTACACCAAAGACGACGGACTCAGTTTTAAAGGCGTTGACTTTCCGACACCGGTCGATCAGATACCCAAGATAGAAAGACAAAATAATTTATCGATAAACGTATACGGTTATGAGGGTGAGATATATCCATTATACGTGTCTAAAAACTATGGGTCACGAGAGATTGATCTGCTTTTGATTTCTAAAGGTGACAAGCATCACTATTGTTGGATAAAATATTTTACGAGGTTGATGTACGACGTTACGAAACATAAATGTAAGAAATATTTTTGTCGAAGATGTCTATGTCATTTTACCAATCAAAACAAATTAGACAGACATATCGCCGATTGTAAGGGTATAGATGCGCATCCATCAAAGATTGTATTTCCTATGGGTAAACCAAAATACATAGACGGGCAACCAGGCGAAAGAGACGTACCGATATTAGAATTTAAAAACTATAGGCACAAACAAAAAGCACCATTTGTCATTTATGCTGACTTTGAATCCATACTACAAACAACAACACCCACACAGACACTAACATCTAAACCTACTCACTCAGACAAAGAGACAAACACAAAAAAGATTAACGTTCACAAAGCTAGCGGTTATTCGCTAGTTGTAGTTCGATGCGACGCTAAAAATGTGTATCAAGAGACTTATAGAGGCAAAGACGCTTCAACTAGATTTATAACGACGTTGTTACAATTACAAAGCGATATTAATTGCATATTTGAAAAACCCCAAACCATGAAATTTAACGAGCGAGCTAAAGACCATCATGATAAAACAAACGCGTGTTGGATTTGTGAAAAACCAATTTATCCCAATTACTCGAGCAACTGTCAGTGCCAGAAGCCCAGAGAACCCAAGACGATAAAACAAAAGAAAGAATATCAGTACAAAAATAGTAAGGGATTTATCGAGTCTAAATGTCTCGACTGCAAAAAGAGCATTAATAAATTTAGAAAGGTGAGAGATCACTGTCACGTCACTGGTAAATATAGGGGTGCCGCACACGCTTATTGTAACCTCAAACTACAAATTAAACCCGGTTGTACACCGATACCGGTCTTTTTTCACAATTTACAAAATTACGACGCGCATTTAATCATGCAGGGAATGACAGAATACGATAGTCAAACAGAAATACAAGTGATCGCTAAAAATTCAGAAAAGTATATTTCGTTCTCGATAGGAAATCTACGATTTTTAGACTCGTTTAGTTTTATGGCATCGTCGTTGGATAAATTAGTGAAAGCTTGCCCAAAAGAGTCGTTTCAGCTACTCAAAAAGCATTTTAAACATCCTGACTTGCTATTACAAAAAGGAATTTATCCCTACGAATATATGAACTCGTTTGATAAGTTTCAAGAGACCAGCCTACCACCCATCGGCAAGTTTTACAGCAGACTAAAAGACGAACATATATCGCAACAAGACTACGACAGAGCTCAACGCGTGTGGAACGAGTTTAATATACAAAATCTAGGAGAATATCACGACTTGTACGTGACGACCGATACGTTATTACTTGCAGGCGTATTTGAAAACTTTAGAAGAACGTGCATTACAAACTACGGGTTAGATCCAGCCAATTATTTTACCGCACCCGGATTGTCGTGGGATGCTCTATTAAAACACTCGGAAGTTAAACTCGAACTATTGCAAGACGTAGACAAACATTTATTTTTTGAAAAAGCAAAACGAGGAGGCATATCGAGCGTGGGTGGAATGAGACATCACAAAGCCAATAATCAATATCTCGATGACTACGATTCAAACAAACCCTCGAGTTATATCGCTTATCTGGATGCTAACAATCTGTACGGTTGGGCTATGAGTCAATATCTACCGTACAGCGATTTTAAATGGACACCCTCGAAACCGTTTACCGAAGAAAGAATATTAACGCTTAAGAAAACGTCCAACACCGGCTACTTTTTCGAAGTAGACCTCGATTACCCGCACGATCTACACGCAAAGCACAACGATTATCCCCTAGCACCCGAAAATATGGTCGTACCCCAAGATTGGATGTCTGATTATCAAAATGAGTTATTGGATACCGAACCTAGTAGCGACGTACAAAAATTAACGTGTACGCTTAATCCAAAACAAAAATACGTGTTGCACTACGTTACGTTGCAGTCATACCTCAATCTAGGTTTGAAATTAAAAAAGGTGCATCGCGTGTTAAAATTTAAACAAGCGCCTTGGATGAAATCTTACATCGACAAAAACACGCAACTCCGAACCAAAGCGTCCTCTGATTTTGAGAAAGACTTTTTTAAACTGATGAATAACAGCGTGTTTGGTAAGACGATGGAAAACGTTAGAAATCGAATAGACGGTTACCTACTGAGAGACAATAATGAGAGCGATCAAGAAAAATACAAAAAAATAATTCAAAGACCGAGCTATAAAACAACAACGCCGTTTCCAGAATGTGACCTGTCGTTTGTCGAAACATATAAAACGACAACCGTGTTAAACAAACCCATTTACTGCGGAGTGAGCATCTTAGATCTCTCAAAGACGCTGATGTACGATTTTTATTACAACCGATTGAAAGACAAGTACGGAGATCAAATC